CCAAAAAAAAAAAAAAAAAAGTATACACACACACACACACACACACACACACTTTAGATATATATATAAAACTGTGTGTGTTAGGGGTATACATACACATGCACACACATAATCAGACTCCTTCCATTATATGTCTGAAATTGCCTATATTGACTCTTTGGCCTATAGATTGGTTGCTATAATCAGTTCCTCTATCTTGTTATCTTTTTCTACTTTTTACACTGCAGTCACCAAAAGTGCATTTGTTCCAAGCTCACAAGCAAGAAAAAAGAAAAAGTATCAAATACAATATTTCTTTAACAGGACCACCGTTACTTATCCTACATCTTTCCTTTCTTATGCACTGTATTCTGTTCATGCACAGTGGCAATTTCTTCAGCCACCACAGTGATCCTAAATCCACTACATACCTGGGAGCTGGGCTGCTTAGGCTCATCCATTCTCCCAGGAGATTCACTTCTGGCTCTGTGTCTCTCCATCAAGGGAACAACACTGCCGGAGGGGCTAAATCTGTCGGAAAAGGAGCATAAAAGGGGACTAATAGAATAGTTGAAGAACTTAAAAAATGGTGATGTCTCCCTTTTTTAATCCTATAGCTGAGGAATGGGAGCAGACAGAACAAACAACTGATAAATAAGTAAAATGGATTCAATATAGGATCTAATTTGAAATATGAAAGGTTCCCCTAGTAAATTTAAGAAATGTGAAATGACACAGCAGACCACATGAGGTGGTAGAGCTAAAACTAAATATAAGTTTTCTATCCTTACATAATTACTGGGAAAACTTAAAAAACATTGAAACTTGGTCTATAATTTTTTTTTCCCCCTAAGAAAAGATGATGTTTTTGGTTGTTCCTTCCTCCACCCTCAGGATAACCTGTTATATACAGTCATGTGCCACATAATATTTTGGTCTTCATCAACAATAGACTCCATATATGATAGTGTTCCCATAAGATTGTAATGGCCTACACCATGCAGCCTACATGAATAGTAGGCTACACTAACTAGATTTGTGTAAGTACCCTCAATAGTGTTTACACAACTGCTTAACATTGCATGTCTCAGAACTTATCCCTATCATTAATGAATGAATGAATGTATGTCAGAGTATCAGTATAGACCATGGAAATAAAAAAATCTTTGCATTAAAGCTGGTATTACTTTTGATACAGTTCTACCACAGGACAACAGTGCTAACAAAGCTGTGCTCAAGAATATTTTAACACAAGAAGGAAAATATTCAAATCAAGACCACCTGTAGTGGATACAGCATACACCATCTGAAAGTCTGCGACATCTATGTCTCTCAAGACCATCTGAAAACCAAAGTAATAGCTTCTTAGTTTTCATTGCTCATACAATCATTTTTATTTTTAAGGGGGAAAAAGAACAAATATTAGCAATTTAGGCTGATAATATTTCTTTCTTTCAACTGAATCTTTCTTCCCTTCAATTGACAGATTAAAACTAGCATTATTTTCACCAAAAAAGAAATGTTCTAACAAATACAATACATTAGAAAAAGTGAGGCACCGAGTACAGTAGCACTGGTGAAAAAAAATTCTCAAGCCTCTGGCGGCAGCAGTCACTCATGAAGGACCAGCAGACTGCATAGCAGTTACATTGCTGGACTCCCACGCAGTTGACTGCAGTTTGAGTCCCAGACCTGGCTTAAAACTCATGCTGGGCGGGGACTAGCAGTTAGTGTAATGGTTATGTCGCTGGATTCCCACGTAGTTGACCGTGGTTCGAGTCCCAGACCCAGCGGCTTAAACTCAAGTTGGACGTGTGTGCGTGCGTGCCCAAGATTACAGATTTGGAAAATGAGGCTCAGAGAGATTAATAACTACTTAAGCACTCAAGTTTAATACTTAAAATTCATGCTTAGGTCTTACTTCTCTGGATCTGAATCTCCTCCTAAAGAATATTTGTTACTATGGGACCAGCAGTTAGTGTAATGGGTATGTCACTGGACTCCCACGTAGTTGACCACGGTTCGAGTCCCAGAGACTTAAACTCGTGCTGGGCGCGTGTGCATGCATGCCCAAGATCCCGAGAGGAGAGAGGAAGAGAAGGGATTGCGGCATGGCCATCCCTCCTGGGGGTTGATTTCTCTCTTTCTGTCTCTGTCTTTCTGGGGAGTACACTCATCCTATAGGAAAAAACCTCTAAAAAAAAAAAAAGTGAAAAACAAACTCATGCTGGGCGCATGTGCGTGAGTGCCTAAAATCCTGAGTGGAGAATGGAGAAGAAACTGCAGTGTGGCCATTTCCCCTGGGGGGTGATTTTTCACTTTCTATCTCTGTGGCAAGTACATGTGCCCTATAGCAAAAATCTCTTAAAAAAGAAAACAAATAAGATGTCATCAAATGATAAGTGAAAATAGGAATGAAAAACATCCAAAAAGCTGTATTTTAGAATTTTTGTTTACAGTCACTTGAAAAGACTAAACGCTGTTAGTGCCATACTTTTTCAAATCTGGTCAAAGACAAGTAAATAGTGCTACAAAGGACAGTGAAACTTCCAGAGGCCACAGACCTGTGTGAAGACATGGAAGGAGGGGCCAAGCTGCCAGGTGCCCAGCTGATGGGCGGCTCCCTGCCTACAATCCTGAGGAATCACTAGCAATTACTGATCCTGAGATGGCTGCAGATGCTATTTGGACTCATGGAGCTGTCTAACTTTGCCATAGTTCTCACAACACTGTGTTTCCTTCAGAACTAAGAGCCTTCCACTTTAAACAAGGAAGAATGAAAGTCTGCTGGCACACCCGTTTCCCTACTTCAACTTATCTTGCCTAAGAACACTGGGTAAGGAGATGGTCTTTGTACCCACACAGAGGGCCCACTTTAGCGATGCTTGCACAGTAGCCATTAGTTAGGAAGCCACAACAGAGCAAAACTTACCTGTCAACTTCACTGCTTGTTGGTCGAGCCACCTTGGCTCCTGAAGACCCTAAAGTGTAGCTTTCCTGACCTACTGGACCATGGCCCGTGGTGTCAATCACCATGGCTGTGACTTCCTCTGCACTACTCCCATCTTCTCCGGAGGGCTGATTCTCAGGTCCAAGCCACTCCTCCAGATTTTCCGTTTTGATATGAACTGCTCCAAGCACCCTCACCTCATCATCACTCCGGGCCCCTCGGTCTGCTACTCCTGTCTCCACATACCATTGTCCTGCTCGGTTAATCCGAAGAATGGGCTCCCGGCCCTCCACGTCAGAACTCTGCTCAATTATCTGAGAGCTGGTGGACTCCTCAGGAGGACTGAGCTCTCTGATATCCAGCACAGCACTAACCTGACCTCGTCGGTTTCCTTTTGGGGTATTGTGACGAGGGCTGAGGGAGTGGCTTAGATTTGGTGTGACCCTGTGAGACTCTGGAGGTCTTTCCTGATGTTTGGTCCTCGTTTGACTTAATTCTGCTTCAACCTCAGCCACATTAATTTTGAAATGAATACCCTCTAGGATCTGTGTACATTTGTCTATAATATGCTGCATCTGCAGAAAACTGGCAGCTGTCAAATAGCTGATGATATCTGCCAGTTGTAGGCATATCCGTCCCGTGTAACAAAAAGAAAGGAGCTGTTCAAAAACAGTAGGATTCTTGATGACTGAAATGGACACAGTACTCATCTCATTCAAGGACATGTGATCCCGGAAATAGGGGGAGCTGCCAGCCAGTACCACTTTATGAGCTCGAAAGGCTTGTCCTTGCACATTGACCACAATATCACAGAGACGGCCCTGCATGCGTAGCTGGTTGAGATGGCTCAGGACAGAGTTGCTGAAGTCAGGGATCTCTAACTGTATGTTCCCACCTTTCTCCATGATCGTGCCTGATGGGTACAGGCAGGCATTCAACCCTGATGAAAGAAAATATAGTAATAATTATTCTTTTACTTCTGATGCTTTCCAGTTTAAACATTTTTAAAGACAGCATTTAGTAAAATTTCAAAATCTCCAGAAAAAAAGAGATTTCTTATGTTTAGATATGGAACTAGACCAATGAGATTTTTAGTTTAGGTTTTGCAATGAGATACAGTTAAATCCAAAAAGTGATTGTAAGACTTCTAAAAATTCAAGCTATGACCATACTTTCTTTACTAGTAAGGTATACAAAATTGATATGGAAGTTCAACAGAGCAGAGGGGAGGAAAGGCAGTATGACATTTTTCTTTTTCAATGTTAATTGCAAGGCATTAGCGGACTGAATATAAGATCCCGCAGCAACTTTACAATTTTTCTCTGGAGAAAAAAATAAGCTTCTTGAATAAATGCACTGTACACAGATTGGTCAAATATTTCTCTTCATATTTTAGTATATGCTGCATGCAATATGCTTATTTTTCACTAATACCCCATATGAATATAGGCCAATATTTCTAAGTCAAAGCCCCACAAGACATTTAGACTAGAGACCTTCCATAGCTATGTCAGAACTCAAGCTAGATGTGGAGAATGCAAAGTTTAGTTCTCAGATTGAAAAACAGTTAAATCTACCTCTAAAAGTCAAAGCTGGAAATTTCAGGATGGTGGTTAATACTTTGATTCTAAAACCTATTAATAGTTCTCCAGAGCGAGTAAAAATAGAGCATTTGCCAGGTACAGTCAACTTTTTACATTAAAAGATTTTTGAAAAATAGCTGAAATACTTGAGCATGTAGCTGTATCTAAACAGTCCTCAAGAGCTGAGAGTAGTCTGTATAAATCCCAACAGTAAGACTCAGATTTGAGCCCGATGCGTACCTAGTTATCTAAAACTTTTATAAGACATTGCATTTACAACACACTTATCAGCAAACAGGGAAGTGTATAAACGGCTTTCAAGAACCAACTTTAGCCAACCTGACCTTTTTCCATAGCGTTACTGTTTGTTTTGAAACTTTTAATCCAATAAGAGCCTCTGTCGATGCCATCATGAATTCAGATGTGTTTATTTTGGAGCCTACACCAGCGCCTTTTTGTTTGCTCTTTCCAGCAATTCCCCAGTGAGGAGGAAGCCCCAGGAGTAAGCTCTTTCTCTACCGTCGGCACTGGAGGAGTGAGAGCTGTAAGAGGGAGAATCGGCAACGGCGCGGAGTTGGCAGGCTTCATCTGCGTTAGGGAACGTGGGGTGAGGGGAGCCGGCGAGGGGCGATGTCACCGAGGACCTCAGGACGCGAGGGGACGAGGTGCCTAGGTAAGAGCTAGAGGCCAGGAAGGGGCGGCGCCGACACGGCCCAGGCGGGAGCGGCCGGGGTGGGTGTGTGCCTGGGTGTGCCTGGGTGTGCCGGCGGCGGGGGGCCGCCCACCCCGGGGTCCTGAGGGAGGGGCCCCGCGAGGGGGCGGGTCCGGCGATTTGGCCGGCCGGGGTCCAAGGGGGTGGAAGGTCGTCGGAGCCTCGAGGGGAAGAGGGAAGTGCTAAGCGCTCCGGGAACGCGCCACGGCGGAGACGCGCAAACTGGCCACGGAGCGGGGCAGCGGGACCCGGTGCGGGGCCCGAGCCCAGGCACGGAGCAGCACCTACCTCCGGGGGTGGAAATGGGCCGGAATGGGCCGGAACACCGTCCCGGAAGTGAAACCCCCCACCCCCTCCCCCGGAGCGGGCGACGTGCCGGAAGGAAATCACTCACCCTCACACGCCCCCTCCCCCCCAGCTGGCCCCCTCCTCTCGCTGCTCTTCCTCCTGGGCCTGGAGGAGGGCGAGGCCGGGCGGGGCAGGGAGGCCGGCCTAGAGGACGGAACGGAGGCGGGGCTCGAGAAGGGGCGGGGCTGACGCTCACGGGAAGCGTGCGTCATGACGTTACGAAGAGACTCCTTATATACGAGAGCCCGGCGCCATAGAGGTCTTTCGAAGCGGAGAGCTGGTGAGCTTTAGGTTTGTATCGATTGTTGACCTGAGGCGGTTTTTTTTTTTTTTTTTTTTTTTTTTTTTTTAATCCCTCGTTCATACATAGATAGTGAAGGTCGTTCTAAAGTAGGTGGCGTTTCGGGGCCGTTCGTGCGCCGTTGCAGGGCCCACTAGAGGAGGATGGTGGAGGATTGTGTCGTGGGTGCAGGCGCAACATTACCTGCTGCCGGAGTTGTTGGGCCAGACTGCGGAGACGTCTTGGCGCGCTTCCCCTGCCTCTGATGAAGCCTGTGTTGGTAGGGACATCTGAGAAAAACTGATGAATGCCAACGGCTCTGATGGCAGTGCGTGCCAAGTTAGCTAAGTGTGCTGTGCCTTAGGCTTCGGCTCATTCTCTTAGAGGCGCTAATTAGGAAAAGGTCGGTAGTTGGTGGCCAGAGTGCATCTGCAGTGCACCATAAAACATTTGTGGTGCATCCCCTTGGGTGCAGTGCTCTGTTAAAACATTGAGCGCATCGTTTACTTTCGTGAAATTAAATTTTGGCTGGTATAAGCTATGTAGATTACATAAAAATTATCAACGTTCTGAGAGGGGAAAAGTGAATTAAAAATCTGTATAATCTTTTCCCTAGTAATGATGCCAGAAGTGGATGTTTTGTGCCTTATGAGGGCGTCATGTGGACAGGTAAGAACTGCGGGAAGGTACAGAGGGAAGGAAAAGTCGAGTCTGTTAAAGCCTGTGATGGTTAAAGAGTAGTGGACAGAAGGGATTTCTGAAAAATACTGGGCTGAGGCTTTACATAGTATTAAAGGAATGGATTCCTGATTTACTCTAAGGCTCTTTCACAGTTTTTTTTGCATCTTGTTTTCCAGTTACATGCCAAAGGGGGATGAGAGGGCTGCTGAGGTAAGTTACTGACATTACTTTGCAGAGTGGAGCTAATATTGAAAGGCATGAGTGTGCCACGATGATGACATTTATTTGCTACTCTTGACTGGGAGGATGATGAGAATCTTCACCACCATTTTACTAACTGAGGCACGTTAAGTGGCGATTTGGGGAACCGAGAGAGTGCACCTTAATTCACATGAAGTTGTTTCTTTCCAGGTCCTTAAGAGGAAACCTCTAACAATGTCTACACAGGTGAGAAAATCAACAGAGGGGGTCAGAACATGGCATAAAGGTGGGGCTTATGCCACATGACTGACCAAGGTTCAAGTCTAGACTTGGAGGCTTGATACAACTTGCATGGGGAAGGACTTTGGGAAATGGAGAAGGGATAGGGGAATGGCCATATACCCTGGGGGAATTGCAAATTTTTCTTACTGCTCTGGCCAGCATAGAAGTCTAATAAAAACCTTTGGGGAAGAACATCACTAAATGATGGTGACTAAAGTGCATGATGCAGTAGGGTCTATTACCTCTGGTTCTTAAATTGTGTTCAATTATGGATAAAAAAATGAAGTCTTGGGGAAAACAGATACTATGATGGTTGCATAGTTCAGCAGATTGTATCATGAAGATGAGAACATTTGTCTGATGTATCTGGGGTGGTTCAAGTATGCTGACCATAAGCAGTGTACTAACTACACTGAAGCCCAGTTTCATTTTTCTTTATTTAAAATCTATTCTAGGCATTGAACAAACCTGCAATTTTAAAATGGTAAGTAGAATTGTAATTGAAGAAAACAGGTAACTGGGCAAACTAAAGCACAAATTACTTATTAGAGTTACGTTTTCTGTAGTAAAGACCACCCATCCCACCCATCATAAGCGAATGCATTGGGAAAATGCCAGATCTTTAGTAGGGTAAAAATGTAAATGCAGCCTGGATGATGATAAGCAAATACTGACTGAATATGAAGGTCTTAATTAGCTCTAACTGATTCAGGCATGTGTTAACATTGGGAGAGAAACAATTTATCTTCGGCTGTTCTAAACATACTTCACTTCACAGGTGGAGTGGCTTGTTTGGACCAACCTAACATAGTAAGTATTAACAAACAATAGGTTGAAGACTTGAAGAAAATGGTGATAAAATGGTTTCTGCTGAGCTGCTAGCAACTCATAACTTGATGTTTCTTCTTGGCTAAATGCAAACTGCATTTTCTTTGAGCATGCTCTGAACGGGGTTTTTGTAATGATGTTGATCAAATGTCTGACCTGAAGTAAGCATGTAGACAAACATAGCACTGAAAAGCCCTGTGATAACTCAGAGAAGAACTTAATGATGTCATATTTAGTATTTTAATGAAACTTCATGTTTCTGTTTTAGCTATTGGTTAACACGTTTTTAAATCGTTGGATGGCTTGCTTTTGGTAAGGACCTAACAGTGGCTTGTGACTAATATTTTGTAACATGGCCTTACTAATAAGTTCTTGAGGGAGTGACTTTGTTAATGGGCAAAAGTTCTGAGAAGTTAACTAAAATTAGAGGACTTAAAACATAAAAATCTATGTGTAATTGAATGCCATTTGCTTTAAAAAGTAAATGGTTATTCAATTAGAAAACAAAAGGAATTTTTTTTCCAGGTGCAGATTTTGGAAGCCATTGAAATTGAAGGTATATATTTTGCTAATAATGTATATTTTTTGAATCTGATGCTGTTAGTGATGATTTGTAAAAGTTAAAACAGATGGGAATCTCTCTGAAAGAGAATGAAGATTAATTTTAAACTGAAACAGTAGTTGGACAATACTAGAAACCTACCTACTACTATTTGTTACTAAATCTTAATGATATTTCTGCAGGTATGAGGAGTCTGAAAACTGTAATGCATGGGGACAACAAGAAATTACCAGACAAGGTAGAGCAACATTAAGTTGTGTGACTGATATAAAGCCGATACAGTGATGATAACATAGTTCAGCTGACAACACTGATGAACCAGCATTAAGTCTTTCGCTCCTATCTGATGTATCTGGCTGTGATGGCATATTTTTACCCTTCAAAAGGGGAATTTAATCATTGTCAAATAGAAAATGTTTACAGGATTGATTAGACTTCTGTATTAACACCTTACTGTCCTATCCTCTCATTTCAGGAATAAGAATGTACATGTGGAAGAGTGCAGGTTAGTTCAAATTAAATAACGTTTTCATGAGAAAGATTTATGTCCTCTATGTAAGACAAGCAGTTAATTATAAATGGATTTTTTTTCTCCTTCAAAAAGGTAGACTTCCTGTTCACCCTATAAACTTGAAGGTGAGTCAGTTTTTGGTACATAAAAATCACATTGAATGTAACCAATGATGTTAATGATTCTGCCAAATGAAATAGAATGATATCACTTATAAAACCGTTCCATTTTGATACTGAGGTTAACTCTTCTAAATAAGTATTGCACAAATTTTTTTTTACTATGACTAATTGTTTTCTTTAATTACAGGGCCTTTATGATGGCAGCAACCTTGTGGCTTAGCTTTTAGAAGGTAAGAATTGAAAAATTCTACCACGGACCTTACTCCAGAATATATGATGATCTCACCAAACTTGAACTCTCTCACTGATTACTTGATGACAATAAAAGATCTGATATTCTGTCTCTCCCAATAGCATTTGAACTGAAATCTGGTACTGTGGCTAATGCTGTTCCCTTTTTTGCAGGTACAGGATGGATGTTCATGGGATAGAAGATGAAGCATTAAAATGTAATAAATTGCTACAAACCTGGAAGAGTGTTTGTTTAAAATTTAATGGGAGGAGGGGAAAGTTACCCAAGTAAGGAAGGAATACCACCTGAGTGCTTTGTCACTTGTGTGAATGTGTACAATGTGTCCAAGTCAGACAACATGGCATGTACTTCAGCCACATGGCCAATTGAAATTTTGAAGAAAACCATGGAGACAATAGATTAACATAGAGAAAAGCAAAGGTGATTGGACTATCACATAAAGGAATTTTCAGCCTGTGTTTAAAAATGGGGCAACTTGAAAGCAAGTGGGGGAAAGCAACTGCTGTTAAAGATGGTTAAGTATAAATGGGAAATAAGTTTTTCAGGATCTTAGGCATGCACATGCACCTGGCATGAGTTTAACCTGTGGGATCTGGGACTTGACCAACCACATGGGAATCCAGCACAGCAACATAGCCATTACACTAACTGCTGGTACCAATGGGAACTAAGTTTTGAAGTCCCATTTCATAAATTTTTCAGGAAGTTGAAGGAGCACTTGAATACTATGCTAATGCAGTTAAGTCTTTCTGTGGTCATTTACTTCAGATATGATTTTAAAAACTGGTCTTCTGTCTACTGCGTTGCTCCTACTCCTACATTCCTGCATCAGTAGCTCTGCATTCTGGCAAAAGGCCAAAAGCCAGGTTCAAGATTGCTGCTTCCTAATTGAACATTTGTGGGCTTAGAAACTGTAGATAACCTAGAATACCTTGTCTCCAAGGAATCTTAAACTGAATTTAAAATGACTCATTTTTGTCAAGTGGTCTGAATTTTGTAGAGGCTTATGTTTTATTAGTTGGGCCCCTAACCAGCCCCATTGAGAAGGTGGTACTACGCTTGGTTGTATATCCTGCAAACTAGGTTTTTTGTGTGGGTTAATAGGTTAATTCAAATAAAATTTCATCTTTGTATAAAGCTCTGTAGGCATTTTAAAGGGAACAAGCCCTTTAAAACAAGTCCCTGGGTTTAAATATTTTTTGTAGTCAAAGTATAAAGCCAAGGGGGTGTTTATAAGCTACTCAGTTTTTAAGATTTCTTGATAAGATGTGTGCTCTGAAGAGACTGAAATCCCTGGGGGGTGGGGACACAATCTAGGATTTGGGGCATGCAAGCTTATTTCCAGTAGGAGTTAGCACCTTAGCCACAGTGTAACTGTTGGCTTTTCCAAAGGGTCTTTGCTTCCTCCCTGACTTGAATGTGCCTGGTCGTTTTTTATTCCTTAATCACACATTTTTTCAGTTTTGCTTAGGACACCTGCATTCATCGGAAGAACAAACATCCAGGTTCAGGATTTAAACCATGGCTGACCATGTGGAATTCTAGTACTTTAACCATGCCACTTGCTGGACCCTTTCTAGTCATACTTTGATCCATTTGTCCCTAACTAGTTTATACTCATTTCAGATATATGAAATGCTTTGCTGATCACTCGATAATTTGCTTTTGTATGTTCTGTGACTTTATTGTGAGATTGTTAACTCTGAGCTATTAGAAGTTTTTTGGTTTTAATATGCTCTCTAGAGGCAGTTGGCATTGCATTTACTTCTACCAACCTGAGACTACCTTGAGTTAAATTCTGAGCTTGAAAGTCTTAGAAACCTTAAGTGCCAACTGGGCTATTCATGGCATATGAGTCCTGCCCCCTATCACTCAGCCATAGGGCCAGCAGATGGTATAATGGTTACATCACTGCAATCATGGCTAGCTGACTATGTTAAGAGTCCTGAACCTACCTGTGGGTGTGCATACGTGCAAGCCCAAAGATCCTAAGAGAAGGGGTTGTGTCACCCCCCTTGGGATGTTCTGTCAAGCAAGAACACAGGCTCTATAGGAAAAACCTTAAACTGGCAAGTTTTCTGTAAATTTTGCCATAGGGCGTGCTCTGAGGGTGGAGAGGCCACACAAAATATCTCCTAGTGGCATGGTCAGGCAGCAGTCTCCATTTCCCCCTCCTGTCAGGACTTAGAGCACACGTGTGCATGCACCCAGAAAAAGCTTACCCCCCCAGCCTAGGATAAAACCACATGCAGTGTGGGGTATAGCTCCTTGATGCCACTGGCTAGCAATCTAATCTCTCAAGTTTTGTTATAGGGGGCAGGCACTTGCTGGAGAAAAGTCACCTCCCCACCAGGTTGGCTATGCCACAATTCTCCAATCTCAAGACATGTATGTTCAGTGAGTATTAAGCCACCAGATCCAGGACTCAAACCATGGGGTCAACTAGTCCTACAATGTAACCATTACACCATCTGCTGGCCCCATTGGGATAGCGCCCTCTAATTGCAGCTTTCAAGCCACCAGGTCCAGGATTTGAATCATAAGTAGCCATGTTGGAGTTCAGGGCCTTAACCACTATTGCACTGGCTGTCCCTAGTGTTCATCTTTTTAGTCTTGTTGCTTCATAAGTCCTGTAAAAACAATGGTGCTCTTTAGTAATTGGAATTTTTTTTAAACAAAAACTTGTGTTGACATGGTTTCATTATTTTAAAGTTATGTTTTGAAAATTCAGTCTTCTACAATAACAAAAGCTCCATGAGCTTCTTGGAATACTCACTTTAAAAAGCCCTTGGGACCAGCGGGTGGAGTGGTTAAGGCACTGGATGCTCCCGTATGGCTGACCACGGTTCAGGTAGTGGATCTGGTGGCTTGCTTTCTCACCTCTGCTTGTGTGTCTGGTCAAATTAAAAAATGAACGGGGACCAGCAGTTAGTGTAATGGCTATGTCACTGAACTCCTATGTCGCAACCACGGTTTGAGTCCTGGACCCAGTGGCTCAAGCTCACGCTGGGCCGTGTGTGTGCATGCCCAAGATCCCGAGGAGAATGGAGGAGAAGGTATTGTGGAGTGGCCATCCACCTGGGGGGTGATTTCTTGCTTTCTTTCTGGTGAGTGCACACACCCTGTAGCAAAAGCCAACTCCCTCCCCCCCCCCAAAGAATGAATGAAGTTAAATGACTTTAAAAAAAGAAAAAGCCCTGAAGGGTCAGCAGGTGGCATGGAGGTTAAGGCAGCTATATCTAGCTGGCTGTGCAGATCAAGTCCTTACCTGGTGGCTTGAATAGCATACTGGACAGGTGTGCTATATATATCCAAAATGGAGAAGGGATTGTACCATAGCCAGCACTTGGAGGGGTAATTTCCCTCTTTGTACCCTAAAAATTATCTCTAGGCTTGGGAACCAGCAGTTAGCGTAATGGCTGTGTCGCTGGATTCCCACTTGGTTGACCGCGGTTTGTGTCCCGGACCCCGTGGCTTAAAACTCACACCGGGCGCATGTGTGTGCATGCCCAGGATCCCGAGAAGAGAATGGAGGAGAAGGGATTGCGAAGTGCCCATCTCTGGGGGGTGATTTCTCGCTTCCTGTCTCTATGTCTCTCTCTCTGGCGAGCACACATGCCCTATAGCGAAAACCTCTCAAAAAAGAAAAAAATATGTATCTCTAGGTTTTGGGTGTCTTTTGTATTTCCAAGATAGGAAATATTCTGGTCATAATTCTTTTTTTTTTATAATTTATTTTATTTTATTTATTCACTCATTGTATTTTTTAGTTTGACCAGAGAGAGACAGGGTGAGAGAGAGAGAGAGCGGAAATGAGAAAGCAAGCCACCAGATTCAGGACTTGAACCCTGGTTGGCCATGGGGAGTGTCCAGCACCTTAACCACCACGCCACCTGCTGGTCCCTCTCGTCAGAATTCTAAGAAGTTGAGTAGTGGATTTATTATGCAATATTTAGGCATTACGTGACACCAATGTGGTGTAGAAGAATGCAAAGTTATATTTTCTGAACCATTAAAGGGCATCTCTAGAAACTCCACTGAGAAAGGGCAGGCAGAGTTGGACACCTCATAAGAACGCTACTACAAATGTGGGAGAGATTAGGTAAAGGATACGTTTAGAAAAATGGCTCTATGTAAGGACAGAAAGGAAGGATGTTATACACTAGTTAATGAAGCTTCACAAATTAGACTTGCAAGTGAAGCCTTGTTTATTTCATTTTAGAGATTTTTGCTATAGGGCATGCTCACCAGAAAGTGAGAAATTGCCCCCAGGAGGGATAGCCACACCACAGTCCTTTTTCTTCCACTCTTGGAATCTTGGGCACACAAGCACATGTGCCCATGTGAGGTTTATTTTATTTAACTTTATTAATATTTTTCAATTTAACCAGAGACGGAAAGCAAGAAAGCAAACCACCAGGTCTGGGACTTGAACTGTGGTCAGCCATGTGGGAGTCCAGTGCCCTTAACCACCACACCTGCCGGCCCCCTGTGTGTTTTAAACCACCACGTCCATCACTTGAACAGTGGTCAACCATGTGGGAGTCCAATGAACTAACCATTATACCATCTGCTGGTCCCAGCCTTGTTTATTTTCAAACCTGCTTTTCAAGCCACCAGGGCTAGGATTTAGACTACCCACTCAGACATTTAAGATCTAGCTCCCTTACTCAAGCAGGCATGGAGCCAACCAGAAAAAAAAAAATTTCACAATAGTCAAAGGATTAGTCCCCTTTTGTAATTATTACATTTTTTTTGGAGAGGTTTTTGCTATAGGGCATGTGTGCTCACCAGAAAGAGAAACAGTGAGAAATCACACCCTGTGGGGGTGGCCACGCCGCATGTGTTTAAACCACCAGATCTGGGACTCGAACCGCGGGTGACTACATGGGAGTCCAGTGACACAAGCCATTACACCATCTGCTGGTCTCTAGTTTTTTGTTTATTTTTTATTTTATTTTATTTTATTTTTGAGAGGCTTTTGCTATAGGGCGCGTGCACTCGCCAGACAGACAGAGAGAGACATAGAGACAGAAAGCGAGAAATCACCCCCCAGGGAGGATGGTCACGCCGCAATCCCTTCTCCTCCATTCTCCTCGGGATCTTAGGCACGCACGCACACACGCCTGGCATGAGTTTTAAGCCACCGGGTCCGGGACGCGAACCGTGGTTGACTATGTGGGAGTCCAGCGACAGCCATTACGCTAACTGCTGGTTCCCTTTTGTTTATTTTAAAATTTTTTAAAATTTTTATTTTGGAGAGGTTTTGGTATAGGGCACATACGCTCACCAGAAAGACAGAGACAGAAAGAGATAAGTCACCCTCCGGGGGGATGGCCACGCCGCAATCCCTTCTCCTCCATTCTCCTCGGGATCTTAGGCACGCACGCACACACGCCTGGCATGAGTTTTAAGCCACCGGGTCTGGGACTCAAACTGTGGGTCGGCTACATAGGAGTCCAGCGACATAGCCATTACGCTAACTGCAGGTCCCCTGATCTCCCATTTTATAATTTAACCTTTGTATCATTAGAAGTTACCAGAAAATCATACCTTCGGTGTTCACTTTTTTACATGTTTGAGGTTGGTTTAAGGTCAATGAGTATTTATGGTTGCTAATATTTGAGAAAATATTCAGGGGTTAATTACCTTTTATAGTAATATAAATAATACTGATTCATAAAGTGACTTACTATAGATACCAATATGTGTGTGTGTGTGTGTGTGTGTGTATACATATACATACACACATATTTATGGGTGAGTAATGCCTGAGATTTGTGTAATGCTTTATAATTTTTCAAAGCATTTTCTTTTTTTTCTTTCTTTGGAGAGATTTTTGCTATAGGGTGCGTGCACTCGCCAGACAGAAAGCGAGAAATCACCCCCCAGGGGGGATGGCCACACTGTAATCCCTTCTCCTCCATTCTCCTCTCAGGATCTTGGGCATGCACACACATGCGCCCGGCGTGAGTTTAAGCCACCAGTTCCGGACGGGGCTCGAACTGCAGTCGACCACATGGGAGCCCAGCGACATAACCATTAAGCTAACTGCTGGTCCCTCAAAGCATTTTCACTCACATTGTCTTACATATATATCACCTCTGATTCTGGCAACAACAGCCCTGTGAGGGAGAAAGCAAAAGTACTGTTTGCATTTTATAAAAGCAGGAAGGGGGGAGGCTAAAAGAGGTTTATAAGACAAGAAAGGGTCAAGTGATCCAGTTCTAAGCTTCATCTTTTATTGAAGACGACAAAATCTTAAGGTGAATGTTCATCTCATTTAATTATAGTTGGTCTTTTTGTGAGGGAATAAAGTAATCAATAAAATTCCCCTTGTGGGGGGGGGAAGAGTTATATAACTTTTCCAAAGTTAATCACCAAATCAGGTTTTGTAACTCAAATTACTGTTTTTTTGTTATACTACTTCTCATCATCTTGTGTTAATAGTTGGAATGTCTTCTAACACTTAATTTATGAGGTTCCTTGAATGAGGCTGATGAAGTAAATCCTCCATCAACTGGTAAGTCTGAAGGAGCAAACATTTTCCCACATTTGACACGTGGGTTGATTGCCTTTGTCCTAAGTGAATGAACATCTGGATACAAAAAAAGCATGATTAGAAAACATTAAGCCAATAACAAAGAGCTGTCTTTTATATTTCCTCATTTTGGGATTTCAAAAAAATCCAAGCTAAAAAAACCTTAATGATGCATATGATCAAGTCAAAATGGAACACCGTCTACCTGTTTCTTCATTGTGACCCAGCTGGGTGGTGGAAACTGAACTACAGTGCTGGAAGCCACAAGTCTGAATACAGGTCAGATCCTTGGATTGGCCTGAAAAGACTCTTGGCGCCTGTGTGCCTGTCTGGGCACCCAGGATCCTGGTGAGCTGAAAGGGGATTGTGGCATAACTGAACCCTGTTGAGGGAGCTTTTGTCTCTATCTCCTTGTATGCACTCTATCATGAATAAAATAAAAATAAATCTTAAAAATACACCTAATTGTCAGATCTACAGCAGAACTCTGGATCTGATTTTAGTTTTGGGGAAGCAAAGACCAAAGCCAGAAGCTTAACAATCTGGACAGTGTGGATGATTCAATGAGCTCTTTTCTGCTTCTGAGTCTATTGGCCAAGAGACCTGGATATGGTAGGGCTTCAGGTCCTCAGAAGGAATAGAATCTGGGGCATTGCTCATGAGGTCATGTCCTCGGAAGGATTTTGGGAAGGCGATGACATCTCTGATGCTTGGAGCTCCAGTAACAAGGCATATCAGTCTGTCTAATCCTGCAAGTAAAATACAAAATCAATGATGGGAAATGTAATCTAACTTTGAGAATGCACTAATGTTTCTATACAAATTGTAGAGAAATTTTGGGCATGAAATGCACACATGACCAGCACTCAGACCCTGCAGTCAGCCAAATGGAATCCAGCTGCTTTAATCACCATGCCACCAGCTGTCCCAATTCTCTACCTTCTAAAAAGATTTTTTGGGGAACAGCAGATGGCATAATGGTTACGTTGCTGGACTCCCATGTAGATGACCATGGTTCAAGTCCTGGACTCAAGCTTAAAACTGCCGGCCCCAGTTCCCTATCTTTTTAAATGACTTGTCTGAAAGATTCTCTTTCTCATTCTAGAAAACTGATCAGGATTATGGGGCCGGCAGATGGTGTGGAGGTTAAAGGCACTGGACTCCCACATGGTCGACCAGAGTTTGGGTCTTGGATCTGATGGCTTTCTTTCTCACTTTCCTTCTCTCTGTCTCTCTGATCAAACTGAAAAATAATGACAGTAAATAATGGGACCAGCAGGTGGTGTGGTGGTTAAGGCACTGGACACTCCCACATAGCCAACCACAGTTGGCTGGTTGGGAGGTTGAGGAGAGGACTGTGGCATGGTATAACTGTTGATGTCAGTGGTATCTGTCATCTGTCATGAAAGAAATTAATTTTTTTTTAAAGTATGGTAATGAGAACACACTGGCATATTTTTACTTTCAAATAGCTGAACGCTATGGAGCAGTGCTTTCCAGATTACAATGACTATGAGCCTACAGGGATTTGTAATAGACTTAAGACACTGTAATTTTACATTCATTTTATTTTTATTCATTCATTTTTTGATTTTGTATTTTTGCTATATGGCACATACACTTGCTGGAGAGAGAGAAATCACCCCTCCAGGGGGTGATGGCCATGCTGCAATCCCTTCTCCTCTATTCTCCTCTCAGGATTCTGGGTACTTACACACAAGTGCCTGGTGTGACTATCAAGCCACTGGGTCCAGACCTTGAACTGTGAAGTTGGCCATGTGAGATCCAGCAGCCTCAACCTCCATGCCATGGAGGATTTGTGTAATGCTTTATAATTTTTCAAAGCATTTTCACTCACATTATCTTACATATATATCACCTCTGATTCTGGCAACAACAGCCCTGTGAGGGAGAAAGTCTCTAGTCTCTAGTTTTATATATATATATATATTTTTAAGAATTATTTCATTTAACTTTATCTATTTATTTTAATATGACCAGAGTGACAGAGCGGGGTGGGGGGTGGTGATGAGACAGCAAGTTGCCAGGTCCAGGACTCGAACCATCAAACCATGGTCGACCATGGGAGAGTCTAGTGCTCTTAACTTCTATGTCACCTGCTGGTCCCTGTAGTTTTATATTCTATTAAAAACAAAACAAAACAAAACAAAAAACCTCTTGGGCATGGTGGTTAAGGCAGTTGGATCCCACGGGGCCAACTATGCAGTTTGAGTCCCGAACATGGCAGCTTGATAATCATACCAGGCATGTACGCACTCATCCTAAATCCTGGGAGGAGAATGGAGGAAAAGAGATTGTGGTGTGGCCATTCCCCCTGGGGAGTGCTTTCTCTCTGTATGTCTCTTGCTTGCTTCTCCTACCCCCCTGTGAATGCACATGCCATATTGCAAATTTAAAAAGTTCTTTCAAATACATATTAAAATTGGTAAAATTTATTTATTAAAAATAATCTTTTTTCAAATGCTAGAAGGCTCACCAGAAAAAAAGAGAACTGCTCCTCCACTCCCCACCATGGGTTATGGTCAGAATGCAATCCTTTTTTCTTCATTTCTCTATCCTATCAGAATTTTGGGCATGACATAATGGCTATATTGCTGGACTCTCATGTAGTCAACCGCAGTTCAAGTCCGCACAAGTACCTGGCATGATTATCAAGCCACTGGGTCCGGACCTCAAACTGTGAGGTCGGCCATGTGAGATCCAGCAGCCTCAACCTCCGTGCCTTCTCACTGCTACCCCCTCACTGCTGTTTCTCTCTGGTGAGTGCATGTGTTCTGTAGCAAATTGAATAATAATAATAATAATAATTCTTTGAAAAATTACTGAAATTAAAACAGGAACTTAAAATCTTGGACTCAAATGCCCCTCCACCACCACAAGGTGAAAACCCAAATTTGAGATACAGAATTATGGAATGAAATTTAGTTTACAGAAAGACAAGTTGTTTGGGACCAGTAGTTGGCATAATGGCTATGTTGCTGGATTCCCATGTAGTTGACCGCAGTTTGAGTCCCAGATCCAGTGGCTTAAACTCACACCGGATGTGTGTGCGTGTGTGCCCAAGATCCTGAGAGGAGAATAGAGGAGAAGAGACTGTGGTGTGGCCATCCCCCCCAGAGGGGTATTTCTTGCTTTCTGTCTCTCTGTATGTCTCTCTTTCTGGCAAGCACATATGCCCTATAGCAAAAACCTCTCAAAAAAAAAAAAAAAAAGTTGTTTACCTAAGGCAATTCCTCCGTGAGGGGGTGCTCCATAATCTAAAGCTTTGAGCAGATGGGAGAGCAATTTCACATCTTCCTGAAATTCAAACGGAAATTCAGTTAAAATAAATGCTACAGGTCCACGAAGTGCCACATTTAGAATTAGGTGCTAAAGGGAAAATAAAGTTGAATTAAAAAGTTACTTAATATGACTTAACTAATAATAACTCATTGGGAAAGTGTTAAGAAAATACCTTAAGAGGTTTACAGTTCAGTGATGGAGTAAGATGAAGCACAGATGGCAATATGTACAGAAATGCCTGTTGCTCAGTAACTCTGGCAGCTACTGATAGTGCTGAAGATGCAGACAGAGGGAAACTAGTCAAGGAGGTAGAGATGCAGAGTGAAAAGTAACTATAGTCCTGGCACAGGGACCAGCATGTCAAATGCTGCTGGAGAGCAGGAAAGCTACAGGGCCAAGAACAGGCTATTGGATATGGTGACTGTGTGAGTATCTATTTAGTAACTATTTTGGCACTGAGTGTAGAACTTTTGAAAGCTTGTCTGGAGATAGTTCTCCAACCACACTACAGAGGAGAATCAAGTGGGGTGCATCAAACAGAGCCTAGGACTCACACAGTGTGTCAAGGCCTCGTATGGGGCCAAGGCAACAGTTTGTTTTTGTTAATGCTTTCCAGATGATTCTAATCTAATGTGCAGCAGAGCTTGGAACCACTGTACAGGAGCAGAAGAAGCAATGTGATTGATTGATGATTTTTGTTAGACATGGTTTTGCTCTGTTGCTCAGGCTGGCCTCAAACTTGTGATCCTCATACTTCAGTTCCCCGAGTAGCTGGGATTACAGACACGTGCCACCATGCCTGGCTACCAATACATTCTTAAGGGATATCTTTTTTTTTTTCCTTTTTGGAAAGGTTTTTGTTATGGGATGTGTGCGCTCACCAGAAAGACAGAGAGAGACAGAAAGTGAGAAACCAGCCCCCAGGGGGGATGGCCACACCGCAATCCCTTTTCTATTCTCCACTTAGGATCTTGGGCATGCGTGCATGCGCATCCAGTGTGAGTTTAAACCACCAGGTCTGGGACTCGAACCATGGTTGACTACATGGCAGTCTAGCGACATAGCCATTATGCCAACTGCAGGTCCCAGGGTATTTACCTTATAAAGTGATTGTGAGATTTAAATGCATCAATGCATATCAAGGACTTAAACAGTACCTGGCATACAGTAAGCACTAATAAGCAGCAATTACCATTGAATTTCTCAAGTCCTACAGCAGAGAGATAAGCTGACACTATTTTGTGTCTAGGAAAACCTCCATTTACTACAAAAATTTATAAAACTGGTAAGTGTTTCAGTAAAAAAAAAAAGACCAGGTTAGAAAAACTGGTTAGAAGAAGCTGTTTATTACCTTTAGCAGTGTTTGCAGGATGTAACGCTGTAGCTCTGCATCGTGAATTCGGATAGAACCACCTCCAATCTCACTGCCATTTAAAACCAAGTCATAGTGTTGGCTTCGGACCTAAAACATTCAGTATTTGTATTAGAGAAAATTTCTGGTTTTTTTTTTTTGTTGTTGTTGTTCTAAATTGAATATACTGTACTTGGAGACTTTTTTTTTTTTTTTTTTTTAATATTTTTGCCATGGGGCACATGTACTTGCCAGAGAGAGCCAGAGAGAGAAAGAGGAAGTGAAAAATCACCCCGTTGGGGGAAGGCCACACTGCAATCCCTTCTCCATTCTGCTCTTGAGATTTTGGGGATGCACACACATGTGCCTGGCATGTTCTTCAAGCCATGGGGTCTGGGACTCAAACCATAGAGTCGATCATGTGGGATCTAGAGCCTTAACCACCACTTAACTACCCAAACAGTTGCTGGCCCCAAGACAACGTATTAATTAGTGGCTCAAACCCCACAGTTTCTTGTAGAGCTTCCAGAACGGGGTCCTCACTATCTTCAGACTGAAATCTGGAATTATTTTCCTTTGTTGCCACATTCCTTCTTGATGGGAAGTATAGCCATGGTACCTTTTCAGGCTCACTGCATAGGAGGTGGATGTCGCCAGGATGGGGAGCCGTAAACGGGTGGTGGGCTGACTCTAGCTCTCTAGGACTTTCCTCCTTGGGAAGGAAGAGTGGGAAGTCTACAACCCACAGGAAGGAGAACACAGCTGGGTCGCGCAGCACCATGCCTCTCATCTCTAGAAGGTCAGCACATTCCAGGCGTAATTTTCCCAACAAAGTGCACTGCAAACAGAAGACACAAATGTGGAGTGAACTTCTTGGCACAGAAGGTGTAAAAGATTTAACCTATTTAAAAAGACAACCTAGATTCTGAAGCCAGATCATTCTCTGATAAAGGGTTAGTCAAATAACAGATGAAGCACCCTCTGCCTCTCAGGAGATGAAGATGTGAGAATGATCTGTCTGTAAAATGGTTGAGTATGACTATGAGCACATAATGACACAGTGATTAAGAACACAGGGACTAGACCTTTGCAGACCTGGAATCTGAAGTGCACTTTCACTAATTACTAACTTTTGTGTTTCCTTTACCATAATAAAATGGGGATAAAAATATCCATCCCATGGCCAGCAGATAGCTTGGTGGTTAAGGTGGGTGAATCCCATGTGGCTGACTGTGTGGTTCAAGTCCCAGACCTCACCAGGTCTGGTCCTTGAAGAACACACCAGGTATATGTGCATGTGTGCCCAAAGTCTGAAGAGGAGAATGGAAGAGAAGGATTGCAGCGCATCACTTCCCCTGGGAGGTTATTTCTCACCTTCTCTCTCTCTCTGTCTCTCTCCAGTGAGTACATGCACCCTACAGCAAATTATATTAAAAAAAGTCCACTTCAAAAGACTGATGTGAAACGGAAGTGAGAAAAGATACAGAAGGTGCCGGACCCAACCAAGTACATGGACAGTCATTCTGAAGACCTGCTCTTGAAGACTGGTGAGGACCTGCCAAGTACTGGCACATAGCTAATGTCCAATAAATGCTGGACCAAGTGGGTCCTCTACTTACTAGCTGTGTGACTGTGAGCACACTTTTAACCTCTGTGCCTCAGCTTTCTTGTTTTTAAAATTGCAGTAGTATCAGGGACTAGCATAAGGATTAAATGAGTTAACACATACAAAGCACTTAGGGGAGTGCTTGGCAAATATAAAGTGTTTAATAAGTGCTCTCTATGGTGTGCAGAGCTTCCCTGGAAAAAGAACAGTGGCACATGCCCACAGACACACATGGGGTGCCATTTTATGGCCCATTCTATGTTACTCTTACGTATCCACATAAGGCACCCTCACTACAACATCTGCAGTTTGTTATTCCTCATTAGACTGGTTTTTGGCTTTCTTTCAAGGAAGGCCCAATAGGAATCTGTACCACATTTTCCTGAGAAAGGGACAGTGGCATGTTCATACCAAGAGAACATTTAATAGCCAAATTAATTTACAGCAGTACATACAAAATTCCAAGTTCTTTAAATAAGGCACATACACTTGCTGGAGAGAGACAGAGAGAAAAGAAAGTGATAGATCACCACCCATGGGCAATGGCTATGCTACAATCCTTCCTCCTCCATTCTCTTGGGATTTTGGGCATACATGCACATGTACCTGGAGTGTTTTTCAAGCCACCAGGTCTAGGACTTGAACTGCGTGGTTAGTCATGTGGGATCCAGCCACCTTAACCACCATGCCATCATCTGGCCCAAATGTTCTTTAAGAGATGCATTAATAGGGTCAGCAGGTTGGACTAACATATGGCCAACTGCAGTTCAAGTCCTGGACTGGGTGGCTTGAAAAATCAAGCCTGGTGCATGTGCACGTGCCCAAATTCCAAGAGAATGGAGGAGAAAGAATTGCAGCATGGCCATCCCCCCAGGGTTTGATATCTTACTTTCTCTTTCTGTCTCTCTGGTGAGTACATGTGCCCTTACACCAAAAATCTCTCAAAAAAAAAAAAAAAAAAAAAAAGAGAGAGAGAGAGATACATTGATAATGAAACTTGTAATTAAATAGCCTTTCCTCTACTACTGCTGGAAAGGGAAAGCCTGGGTTACATTTAACCTTGAAACTGAATAATGAAACTTTTCCTTTGGAAGAGAAAATGACAAATAAGTATACATATAAATTAGAAGAATGAACTTGATAAGGTACTAACTGGAAACTATTACTTTAAAGAAATTATATACTATATGCTCAACCTTTGTGTTTTCAATACTCATGGCTGCCTTTGTACCACATTCTGCATATTTTGCAAAGATCATAGAGCTAAATGCAGTCTTCTGAACATCCCCAGAAGTGTGGTGACTGAGCCAGTGCATGGCGTTCTCATCACCTGCAGCAGCTGCTCTTAAGGAAAAGGTACTGCCTGACCAAGTTGGCCCAGGATTCCCACCAGCCCAGCAGCTCTGTAGAAGTCTGATCTGTCTTTCCACATCTCTAGGAATGCTTTATGTACTTACCTGCTTTATGTATGACACTACCAAATTCTCTTCATCTGCAAAATCTTGAAAGTCAAAGTATTTTTTCATGGTTATAACTAATACCAATAGCCCTTTACAGACTAACAAGCTTTACTCATTAGAGCCAGATCTAACTGTTTCATGCCAATGGAGGGTGGCAGCTGATGGGAAAAACTAATTACCACACATTCTATTACAACACACTGGGAGATATTTATTTATGTAACAACATATACAGAGCGGCTCCATTTTCTCAAATAATAGTTTCAAACATGTACTGTACATGCAGGAGAGGAGAGTTATTACTTGGTATCAATAGCAGAGAGGCTTGGGGGTCATTTTTCTTACTGCTTTCTGGTGTTCTCCGGCAGTTAGTAGGACCACATCTTCCTCTTGGATCTCCATCAGTCTGATCAATTCCAATCTTCGTTCCTCCATTATGAATTTAGCAACTGGAGAGTTCCAGTTGCTATTGGCTATCAGGAATATAGGTAAGACTTCCTATGATAAAAAAAAAAAGATTTGTTGGACCAGCAGATGGCATAATGGTTACATTGCTAGACTCCCACAAAGTTGACTCCGATTTGAGTCCAGGACCTGGTGACTTAAAACTCATGCTGGGCATGTGTGTATACATGTGCAAACTATAAGAGGATAATGGAGGAGAAAGGACTGTGGTGTCTGGGGAGTGATTTCTCACTTTCTGTCTCTCGGTCTCTCTGGCAAGCACACGCCCTAAAAGCAAAGATATCTCTTAAAAAAAATTTAAAAAGAACATATTTTTTTAAAAAGTGAGATTGGAAGCCAACATGTGGCATGGTGGTTAAGGTGCTAGACTCCCACGGTTCAAATTCTGGACCTGGTGGCTTGTTTACTTACTTTCCTTTTCTCTTTCTCTGTCTCTCTCTGGTCAAATTAGAAACAAAAGTAATAATAAATAAAATTTAAAAGATTAATAAAGATATAAAAGTGTATTAAAAATAAATACATAAAAGAGATTGATTTATTTTCTCATAGTACAAGGACTTCTTGTACCTAGGAGAGAACTTATATGAGGTCATCTGTGTTTCCTCCCTGAATCCCTTCAAAGTGATACTAAAGAAATTTAAAAAACTAATCTCATCGCAATAAATAAAAGGTGGTAAGGGGCAAGAATAGCAGGGAAGAATGTCAGTAGATGAGAGAGATTTCTACAATTTTTGGCATTTGAAAGTGAAAAGAATAGGAGTGAGGAAGAAGCAGGGAGCTCTAAAGAACAACAGAGGCAGGAGTATCACAAGAAGGAGCTGATTTAACTACAGAATCCTGAAGAGGCTCAGGAGGCTTAAGCTGAGCCCCTAGCCTAACAGCCAGTAGCTTTGCTGCTTATTCTAAACAAAACCATTTACAAAGCCCTTTTAAGGACCCTATACTCTCAATCAGTTTTTAAATGCCTCATTCCTTTATGGTATGCTTTTTTTAAGAGAGATTTTCGCTATAGAGTGTGTGTGTGTGCTTGCCAGAGAGAGAGACAGAGACAGAGAGGGAAATTGATAAGTCACCCCTGGGTGGATGGCCACACCACAATCCCCTCTCATCTCCTCTCAGGATTTTGTGCACATACATATGCACCCAGTGTGAGTTTCAAGCCACTGAGTCTGGTGCTCGAACCGCAGTTGGCCATGTTGGGGTCTAGTGCTGTAACCACTATGCATCTGCTAGTCCCTAAAATGCCTCATTCTTGGGGCTGGCAGGTGGCGTGGTGGCTTAGGCACTGGACTTCCACATGACCTACTGTGTTTCAAGTCCTGGACCTGGAGGCTTGCTTTCTCACTTTCTCTCTCTCGTGAAACCATGTGCCCTATAGCAAATTTAAAAAGATAAATAAAAGTAAATAAGCATTTTTTTTTTTTAAGAAAAAGCCTCATAAAAAAAAAAAAAAAATTGCCGGAGAACATGTGCGCTCTAGAGAATGAGAGAGAAGGGACTCCCAGTGGGAGGTACTCGCACCTCCACCCTTTTACTCCATTTCTCCTTCCCATCAGGACTTAGGGCACTCATGCACACATGACCAATGTGTTTTTTAGCCTACTGGGGCTGGGATTTGAACTGTGATTGGCCATGTAGAATCTGGTTCCCTTTGCACAGCACTTCATCACTGCACTACAGGGCTGACCCAAATGCCTCAAATTTTTTTGGTTTGGTTTTGTTTATCAGCCAAAGGGTGCATGTATTTGCCAGAGAGAGCCAGAAAGAGAGGGAGAGAGAGAAAGCACCCTCCAATGGGGCATGATCATGCCACAGTTCCTTTTCCTCCATTTTTCCAACCTGTAGGGATTTGGGGGATGCATACACATGTGTCGAGTGTGTTTCTCAAGCTGCCAGGTCTGGGATTTGAACCAGGAGTTGGTCATGTGGGATCTGGGTCACTTAACCACTAGGCCACAGTACTACCCCACCTCATTTTTAAATATGTTTAAATATGTACACAGAACCAGTAATCACTACACATTGAAGAAACTGCAGCATTAAAAAAATAAATAACTATGAGACCAGCAGTTTGCGTAATGGCTGTGTCGCTGAACTTCCATGTAGTTGACCATGGTTCGAGTCCTGGACCTAGTGGCTTGAACGCACTTCGGGCACGTGTGTGTGCGTGTCCAGGATCCTGAGAGGAGAATGGAGGAGAAGGGATTGCAGTGTGGCCATCCTCCCCGGGGAGTGATTTCTCGCTTTCTGTCTTTCTGTCTCTCTCTGTCTTTCTGGCGAGTGCACACACCCTATAAGCAAAAACCTCTAAAAAAAAAAATAATAAAATAACTAAAAGACAAAGATGGATAAGTTAGAGACCAAAAGAGACCCTGAAGTGCTGGCAAGTGGCATAGTGGTTATGTTGCTGGATCCTACATGGCTAACTCTGTAGTTTGAGTCCTGAACCGGGTGGCTTGAAAAACACCAGGTACATGTGCATGTCTGCCCAAAATCACAAGAGGAGAATGGAGAAGGGATTATGGTATGGCCATTTCCCCTGGGGGTTGATTTCTTTTTTTTTTTTTTTTCTTTTGAGAAGTTTTTGCTATAGGGCATGTGCACTCACCAGACAGACAGAGAGAGATAGAGAGACAGAAAGTGAGAAATCACCCCCCACGGGGGATGGCCACGCTGCAATCCCTTCTCTTCTTCTCTCAGGATCTTGGGCACGCACACACACGCGTGAGTTTCAAGCCACCAGGTGCGAGTTTCAAGCCACCAGGTCTGGGACTCAAACCGTGGTCGACTACATGGGAGACCAGCAACATAGCCATTACGCCACTGCTTTTCCCCCTGGGGGTTGATTTCTCACCCCCTGCTTCTCTCTCTCTCTGTCTCTGGCAAGCACATGTGCCCTGTGGCAAAAACAAAAACAGAAACAAAAAAAAGAAGACCTGAATCCTCAAAGGCACTTGAAAAGATATTTTATCTATAAAACCAGAGTAAGATGCAGTGAAAAAAGCAATGGTGAAATAAAAATGCTGGAAAAAAGTTCAACAGAAGAGTTGAAGAAAACTCCCAGAAAATTCTACATATACCTTATAGAAATTCCAAAAAGATAGACTAGAGCCAGTGACAATGGTAACTGGATTCCACATGGCCAACTCTATGTTGTAAGTCCTGATTCAGGACTTGAAAAACACTGGTGAAGCATGTATGTGTGTGCCCAAAATCCTGAAATGAGGGAAGAATGGAGACAGGATTATGGTGTGACTATTTCCTGGGGAATACTTCCTCAGTTTCTGCCTCCTCCCTCCCTCCACCCTTCTGTCTCTCTAGTGAGCACACATCCCTTATAGCAAATTAAAATATTTAAAAAACAAACAAAAAACTATAGTTGAATTTTCACATTCTGATTAATTGTTAATTCAACTAATCTGAAGTCTCAGAGTTATACCTAGAGGTAAGATTAACTTTAAAAATAAACAGAGGAGGGGGAACCAGCTGGCACAGTGGTTACATTGCTGGACCCCACGTGGCTGTCAGCAATTCAAGTCGGACCCGGTGGCTTAAAACTCACGCCGGGCGCGTGTGCGTGCGTGCCCAAGATCCCGAGAGGAGAATGGAGGAGAAGGGATGGCGGCGTGACCATCCCCCCTGGGGGGTGATTTCTCGCTTTCTGTCTCTATGTCTCTCTCTGTCTGTCTGGCGAGCGCACGCGCCCTACAGTGAAAATCTCTCCAAAAAAAAAAAATAAATAAAATAAAAAAATAAAAAAAATAAACAGAGGAGGGACCAGCAGATGGCACAGTGGTTACATTGCTGGACCCCATGTGGCTGTCAGCAATTCAAGTCCTAGACCTGGTGGCTTAAAAATCATGCTGATGCCTGTGCAAGTGTGCCGAAGATCATGGGAGAAGAATGGAAAAGGGATTGCAGGGCGGCTATCCCTCACTCCAGGAGTGAGTTCTCAGTTTCCCTCTCACAGTGTCTGACCTCCCCTCTCCCCTGAAGTGCATGTGCCCTAAGGCAAAAACCTATAAATAAAATAAATAGAAGAAAAGCAGAAGAAGGATCTGAAACAGCAATACCCTCAAAACTAAAGACAACTTAATTGCTCAAGCAATTATTAGTTTAAAAACAAAGAATCCTCCAGAACTAGTAGTTAGCATAATGGCTATGTCGCTAGACTCCCATGTAGTCCTGGACCTGGTGGCTTAAACTCAAGGCGGGAGAGGAGAATGGAGGAGAAGGGACTGCAGTGTGGCCATCCCCCCTGGGGAGTGATATCTCGCTTTCTGTCTCTCTGTCTTTCTGGCAATCGCACGTGCCCTATAGCAAAAACCTCTCAAAAAACAAAACAAACAAAACAAAAACAAAAAAAGAATTCCCCAAAGGAAAATAAAAACCTGCCCTAATTAACTCCTTACCTGATTAAAATGGTCAGCTGCAGATTTCCTAATGCGCTCGATGTCTTTCCTTTTCAAATATTTCTGATGAAAGGAAATCAAAGTAAACTTAGCAATGTGACACTTAGCTTCATAATGTGTTTATCATATTAAATGGGACACAAATATAGTATGTTTTTCTGTCATAATAGAGCAGTTTAATAAAAATTAAATTTTGCTGCCAAATAACTTTTTTTAAAAAAATTTGCCAGAAGGTGTGTATGCTCACTGGATGGTGGTGGGGGGAGAGGAAGGACTTGAGCAAGCACCCTCTATGGAGAACAATCATGCTGCAATGCCTTCTCCTTCATTTCTCCCTTCAGGATTTGGGTGCACACACATGCGCTATCCTATCTTTGAAGCCACTGGGTCCAGGACCCAGTCAGTCATGGGGATCCAGCTGCTTTAACCACCATGCTATTGACTGGGTTGACAAATTTTTAAAACTTACTACAGAATTTACTTTTTTCCAATTATGTAGACCACATTGGTAATGAGAATACATTCCACAGAAGACCTTGTACATGTATGTGTATGAAAATGACTGAAATGAATCTCTACAACTGAACTGTGGGAAAAAAAAGTAACTTTCAGGTTAATAATAATATTCATCAGTGAGATGGTGACCCGGGAGTACACCATCAACATTCACAAACACATCCATGGGGTGGGCTTCAAGAAATGTGCCCCTGGGGAACCAGTAGTTAGCGTAATGGCTATGTCACTGGACTCCCACATAGTCAACCATGGTTCACGTCCTGGACCCAGTGGCTTAAAACTCATGCCGGGCGTGTGTGCGTGTGTGCCCAAGATCCCGAGAGGAGAATGGAGGAGAAGGGATTGCGATGTGACCATCCCCCCTGGGGGGTGGCTTCTCGCTTTCTGTCTCTATGTCTCTCTCTGTCTGTCTGGCGAGCGCACGCGTCCTATAGCAAAAACCTCTCAAAAAAAAAAAAAAAGTGCTCCTGGGGCACTCAAAGAGATCCAGAAATTTGCCATGATGGAGATGGGGTCTCCAGATGTATACACTGATAACCAGGCTCAACAAAGCTGTCTGGGCCAAAGGAATAAGAAACATCCCCTCTTGTATCTGTGTGTGGTTGTCCAGAAAATGTAATGAGGATGAGGATTCACCCAACAAGCTCTATCTCTGGTGACCTACATACCTGTTACCACTTTCAAAAATTTACAGTCAATGTTGATGAGAAGTAACTGCTGATTTTCAAATAAAGTTATAAAACCAAAAAAAAAAAAAAGGGTAAAAGCATGATTTCTGCAGTTCTTGTATCTACTTAGGGAAGAAAAGATGTGCTCAAAATATAATAAAAGTAGGTGAGGGCCAGCAGGTGGCATGTTGGTTAAGGTGCTGGACTCTCACATGGCTGACTGTAGTTCAAGTCTCAGATCCAGAGTCTTGAAAGTCACACTGGGTACATGTGCATGCATGCCCCCAAATCCCAGAATGGAGGAGAGGGGAGTGTAGTGTGGCTACTCCCGTAGGGGGTGATTTCTCACTTTGCCTCTCTCTACTTCTCTCTGGCAAGTGCATGTGACCTATGGGGGGAAAAAAACTAACTAAAAAAAAAAATAATAATAGTATCCTATACTAACTTAAATATACTCATCCTGTCTGGGTTAGATAAAAGACACTGAATTACTGTCCACTGAACATACAAACTGGGCAAAAAGTAACAAGGGTGAGTTCTTATGCTAATCTGAATTTCTTTTTGGAGAGGTTTTTGCTATAGGGCGCATGTGCTCGCCAGAAAGACAGAGAGACAGAGACAGAAAGCAAGAAATCACCCCCCCCCGGGGGGGGATGGTCATGCTGCAATCCCTCTCCTCTCAGGATCTTGGGCATGCATGCTCATTGTGCCCGGTGTGAGTTTAAGCCACCAGGTCCAAGACTTGAACCGTGGTTCACTACATGGGAGTCCAACGACCTAGCCATTACATTATCTGTTGGTCCCAATCTAAATATATTAATATGCATATGTATCCAAATGATTGTTGCCTTTCAAAATAGTAATCTTATTATAATACTTCCTCTTTTCTTTTTAGAGAGGGTCTTACTGTTGCCCAGCTCAGCCTTGAATTCTTGTTTCTCCTGCTTCAATCTCCTGAGCAGCCAGGATTACAGGTGGACAGTAGTAAGTTTGACTCAAAATACTATTTTTTAAAAAGAATTATTTATTTAATTTTATTGATTCATTCTTTTATTTTTATATTTGATCAGAAAGAGATACATACACAGAGAGTGAGAGAGAGAAAGTCAGAAAGCAAGCCGCCAGATCCAGGGCTTGAACCATGATCGGCCATGTGGGAATGTCCAGTGCTTTAATCACCATGTCACCTGCTGGTCCCTCAAAAATACTTCTGAAATGTCTTTTATTAAATCACTTTTAAAGTAGGTATACTAACTACAGAAAATAAATGTGTCTTCAAGTCAGTGCTTGGTCACCCAATCATTCTCCTCTCTTTAATTGTTATTTCTCTTCTTTATAGGCTTTTTTTTTTTTTTTGAGAGGTTTTCGCTATAGGGCACGTTCACTCACCAGACAGACAGAGAGAGACATAGAGACAGAAAGCGAGAACTCACCCCCCAGGGGGGATGGTCATGCCGCAATCCCTTCTCCTCCATTCTCCTCTCGGGATCTTGGGCACGTACGCACATGCGCCCGGCATGAGTTTTAAGCCGCCAGGTCCGGGACGCGAACCGTGGTCGACTACGTGGGAGTCCAGCGACATAGCCATTATGCTAACTGCTGGTTCCCTCTTCTTTATAGGCTTTTGAAGCTCTAGTTCTTTTTGTTCATCTGTTATTCATTTGGTTGAGATCAATATCCTGAGAAGACCAAGAATCAATATGACGTGGCTATGCTGGAGCTCACATAGGGGGCTGAGAGTCTTTGAACCAAAGGAAGCTGCACACAGAATACTGAGTATTATCTTATGTTCATAAAATATACCCAATGGAATTATATCAAATGAACAAGTATAGTTTGTAGCATACAAAAGCAAAGGCTCAGTTCTTGAATGTAAATTAATATTCATAAGGTTTTATTATTTTCTACTTAAAATTTTAGGAACAATGTTAGATTTTGTAATAAAACACATGTTTATAAATATATATATTATATACACACACACACATTTTTTTCTTTTTGATTGCCAATGGGTTTGTGTGCTCACCAGAGATAGGAAGAGGGAGAGGGAGAAAGCAAGCCCCCAGTAGGGCACGGTCACCACAGTCCTTTCTCTTCCATTTCTTTCTTTTGGGATTTTGGTCAGGCAAGCACACACACCCAGCATGTTTCCCAAGACACCAGATCTGGGACTTTAACTGCACAGTTGGCCATGTGGGCTCCAGCCACCTTAACCACCATGCCAGTGGCTGGTCTCTACCTTGTGTGTTTTTTGAGCTACTGGGGCCGGATCAGCCTGTGGTCATCTATGTGAGATTAGGTTCACTTAACCACTAGGCTACAGGGCTGGCCTCATCCCAAACATATTTTTATTTAAAAAAAAATGGTTCTTGGGCCAGCAGGTGTCATGGGGGTTAAGGTGCTGGACTTCCTGCTAACCAGACCTGAGTCCCAGACCTGGTGGCTAGAAACTCATGATGAACATGTACACATGTGTAACCAAAATCCCTAGAAGACAGTGGAGGTGAAGGGATTGTGGTATGGCCATTACCCCTAGAGAGAGTGATTTTTTACTCTCCCCACCCCCACCGGTGTCTCTCTGGTGAGTACACATACCCTATAACAAAACTGAGGGGAAAAAAAAAGGAAATGATTCTTTCAAAAGTTTAAATGTGCCAGCATTGAACATATTTACTTCCAAGCCATACATGCTAGAGAAAACACCGGCTTGTGTTTCACTTACTGCTCCTTCGGGAATACGTATGGCTTTGATGGTTCCTTGGGTCTTACTAAGCGCATCCTGAAGAAATCCAATCTCGGTGTTTCTGAACGCATCACTGATATCTACAATCTGGAAAATGGGTAACAAAATGAACATGAATTAATTTTTATCTCAAAACATCTTATAAATAAGATTTTAAAGAAGAGAACAGATGTAGATGAGTTAGTATTTATAAATGTTCACTGTGGGCTGAGCACTGACATGTGTTTTACACATGTTCATTCATTTCACTTGCACAATGACAGTGTGAGGCTGATACTCTCATTATCTCCATTTCACAGATGGGGAAACCAAGACACAGAGAAGGATGTAACTTGTTCAAGATGACACAGTTAGTAGATGACAGAGCCAGAATTTAAAAAAATTATTTGTTTATTTAATTTTAAAATTAAATAACAACTTTAATTATTATTAAACCTGCTGGACCCAACAGGACCAGTCTTTAACCTAAGCAATCTGGCTTAACCACACTATTCCAGGCCCAGCAGGAGGCATAGTGGTTAAGGTGCTGGACTCCCACATGGCTGATTATGGTTTGAGTCCCAGACCTGGCTGCTTACTTAATAAATAATTAAAAACAAAACCACTATTCCATAAAAGAAACAAGGAGTAGTTAAGTTGGCAACTGAAAGTAAATAGTTATGACTTCTTATGCATTATATATATATATATTTTTTTTTTGAGAGAGATTTTCACTGTAGGGCGCGTGCGCTTGCCAGACAGACAGAGAGAGACATAGAGACAGAAAGCGAGAAATCACCCCCCAGGGGGGATGGTCATGCCGCAATCCCTTCTCCTCCATTCTCCTCTCGGGATCTTGGGCACGCACGCACACGCGCCCGGCATGAGTTTTAAGCCACCGGGTCCGGGACACGAACCGTGGTCAACTATGTGGGAGTCCAGAGACATAGCCATTACGCTAACTGCTGGTTCCCAGCATTATATATTTTTATTCTAAGAGTTGAGTACTGATATTCATAGGCCAGACATAATTAAATTTCTAAGGAATTTGTACTCAGAACTGAGATACAGAAATCTCAGTATTATTAGAGATTAAAGAATATTGCTCTCACAGAGCAAATGGTAACTGCCTGCTAATAAAGTTGCTCTATACAAATTCTACCCTGGCTCTTAAATACTTATAAATAATTTGAAAAAAATATTTTTACATGTTTGAGCTCTATATAGACCAAGGAAAACAAGTAACTCCCTTTTTATTTATGACAGTGGTGTGCATGCACATGTGAAAGTGCGCGCAAGAGAAAAACAGAGAGAGAGGAGCACCCTCTGTAGGGTTTGGTTGTGCTATGACTCCCTTCCTAGCCTGTAGAATCTTGAGAATTTATGTATATGCCTGGCATGTCTCATGCTGACCAGGTCGAGGACTTGAACCATGGTTGCCATGTGGGATCCAGTTTCTTTTAAGCAGTGCATTACTGTTGTACTATGGAGTTTGATCATGAGTAACTTCTTTTTTTTTTTTTTTTAGGGGTTTTTGCTATAGGGCACATCCGCTCATCAGAAAGACAGAGAGAAACAGAGAGACAGAAAGCGAGAAATCACCCCCCCCCGGGGGGGGGAATGGCCACGTCACAATCCCTTCTCTTCCATTCTCCTCCCGGGATCTTGGTCACACACGCACACGCACCTGGCATGAGTTTAAGTCACCAGGTCCGTGACTTGAACTGTGGTCAACTACATGGGAGTCCAGCGATGTAGCCACCGTGCCATCTGCTGGTCCCTGCTCATGAGTGAACTTTTAATCATTTGCCTTCTATTTGGCATAAAAATGTGAAAAAGAAAAAAAAAACACAACTTTTTTTTCTTTCTTGTTACCACTTACATCCATATAATCAACATATAAGTAATAAGAACTTTATAGCAAGAATCTTGGTCTTGGAAATGGATCCCTGAACATAGTAGCTAGACCAAAAGTGTTGTGATGCTAACGCACTATTACTCTTTCTTGTTGTAACTTGGTAGCAACAAAAACGTGATCTAGGGACCAGCAGTTAGCGTAATGGCTATGTTGCTGGACTCCCACGTAGTCGACCGCGGTTCAAGTCCCGAACCTGGCGGCTTAAACTCATGCCGGGCGCATGTGCGTGCGTGCCCAAGAACCTGAGAGAAGAATGGAGGAGAAGGGATTGCGGCATGGCCATCCCCCCCAGGGGGTGATTTCTCGGTTTCTGTCTCTCTGTCTCTCTCTCTCTTTCTGGCAAGAGTGCATGCGCCCTATAGCAAAAACCTCTACAAAAAAAGAAAGACAAACAAACAAACAAACAAACAAACAAACGTGATCTAACAGTGTATACCACTTGTGAATTCCAAAGCGGTTTAAAAGACGGCAGAATTATATGGCAGCAGGGTTCTGAAGAAGTGAAGAGAAATACCTTCATTCCAAAGCGAGTGTCAGGTTTATCCGTTCCGTAGGTGGCCAATGCCTCAGCAAAAGTCACAGAAGGAAAAGGAACCGCTATAGGAGCTTTGTCACTGGGCCAGGAATACTGGAGCAAACCCTCAATTAAACTCTGAATCCCAGTCTGGTCTACAAAAGACATCTCTATGTCAATCTGAAACCAAAATAATATATGGGAACTAAGTCTAATAGCCATAATACATACATACTTACATATTTCTCTTTCAAGTTACCTAGGATTCTGCACATAGTATTAATACATGGGGATGGTATATATATTATTATACATTTTTCTTTTTCTTTTTTTTAGATGTTTTTTGCTATAGAGCATGTGTGCTTGCCAGAAAGACAGAGAGAGACAGAAAGCGAGAAATCACCCTCCAGGGGAGATGGCCACACTGTAATCCCTTCTCCTCCGTTCTCCTCTCTGGATCTTGGGCACGCATGCACATGTGCCCAGCGTGAGTTTAACCCACCAGGTCTGGGACTTGAACCACAGTCGACTACATGGGAGTCCAGTGACATAGCCATTATGCCTGCTGCTGGTCCCACATGTTTTTTTTCTTTTTTTTTGTAGAGGTTTTTGCTATAGAGCGTGTGGCGCTCGCCAGAAAGACAGAGAGTGACAGAGAGACAGAAAGTGAGAAATCACCCCCCAGGGGAGATGGCCATGCTACAATACTTTCTCCTCCATTCTCCTCTTGTGATCTTGGGTATGCACACACACGCACTCGGCGTGAGTTTAAGCCACCAGGTCCAGTACTTGAACCGCGGTTGACTACATGGGAGTCCAGTGACAGAGCCATTACAGTAACTGCTGGTCCTTTTTTTTAAAAAAAAAAAAAAAGTGTTTTTTTTTGCTATGGGGTGTGTGTGCTTGCTGCAGAGACAGAGAGAGACAGAGAGCAAGGAATCAAATCCCTGGGGAAAGGGCCACACCACTCCTCCATTCTCCTCTTGGAATTTTTCTTTTTTTTTTAGAGAATTATTTATGTATTTAATTCCATTTGTTAATATTTTTTAATTTTACCAGAGAGAGGCAAAAAGAAAGGGAAAGGGAGAAAGCAAGTCACCAGGTCTGGGACTCAAACCGTGGTCAGCTATGTGGGAATCCAGCACCTTTAGCCAACATGTCACCTGTTGGCCCCCTCCTTGGCCGTGGTGGCACACGCATGTGCACACACACACACACACACACACACCCAGCATGAGTTTTGAGCCAATGGGTCTAGGACTTGAATCGTGTTTCACTACGTGGGAGTCTAGCAATGCAATTATTACGCCATCTGTTGGTTACATTTGTTTTATTTCAAGCAATGTGCTAATGCTTTACATACACTGACATGTTTGGTTCCCACACTGTCTCATAGCTTAAGGCTCAGAGAGACTAAGCAACCTGCTTGCATATGTGCAATTAGTAAGAAAACTACATTTGGTCCCAGGTCTGCCAAACTCTAACGCCTATGATTTTTGCACTTCACCACACTGTGGGGCCCAGTACATAGCATAGTGGTTAAGTCACAGACTCCCACATGGCCAGCTGCAGTTCAAATCCTGGACCTGGTAGCTTGAAACTCACTCCAGACATGTGTGTGTGTGCACCTAGGATCCCAGGAGGATAATAAAGGAGAAGGGATTGCCTGGGGCCATCCTCCCTGGAGGGTGATTTCTCAATTTCCCTCTCACTATGTATGTCTCTTTCTCTGGCAAGTGCATGTACCTTAAGGCAGAAACATTTTAAAACAAAACAAAATAAAACAAAACAAAAATCACTGTCATGCAGAAACCAAATCAAAATAACATTGATAATATTCACAGATTAGCTAAACAGATTAGATATCAAGATGAGGAATTATTGGTTCTTAATAAAATAAAAAATTCTGTTTTGAGGACTTTATCATATCATGAACATTAAAACACTGTAGGAGTCTCTGGCATGTCCTTTTTTTTTTTTTTTAAAGAGATTTTTGCTACAGGGCACGTGTACTTGCCGGAGAGACAAAGAAAGACTGAGAGACAGAAAGTGAGAAATTGCCCCCTTGGGGGGATGGCCATGCTGCAATCCCTTCTCCTCCATTCTACTCTCAGGATCTTGGGCACACATGCACACGTGCGTGGCATAAGTTTTTAAATTGCTGGGTCCAGGACTAGAACTGCAGTCAACTATGTGGGAGTCTAGTGACATAACCATTCCACCATCTGCTGGTCCCTCTCTGGCATTCCTTAGTTGACAGCTAGACTTCTTACAAAAAGGACACATGAAATGGATTAAAAGTTGAATAATTAGTGCAATTGTAGGTTAGTTTCATGAAATATCTGGCAGGTAGAATGGAGAAGTAGCAGCAGTCCTGTATAATGACATTTTGGTCAACAATGGACCACATATGTGATGGTCGCCACTTAAGATTATAATAGAGCTGAGAAATTTCTGTCTTAATCAATTGTCATACTAGTGCAGTGTATTACTCACATTTGTGGTGATGTTGCTATAAACAAACTTACTGTCCTGCCAGTCATCAAAAAACATAGCATGTTCAATTGTATACAATACCATTGTTATTTTATGTTATTTTTAAAAAAAGAATTATTTATTTATTTATTTAATTCCATTAGTGATTATTATTTTTTACTTTGACCAGAGAGAAAGGGAAAGCAAAAGAGCAAGTCGCCAGGTTTGGGACTCGAACTGCGGTCGGCCACGTGAGAATCCAGTGCTTTTAACCACCATGCCACTTGTCAGCCTCATATATTATCATTTTTTAAAGAATTATTTATTTATGGGACCAGCAGAGGGTGTAGAAGTTATGTTGCTGGACTCTCACATGGGTGACCATGATTCAAGTCCTGGACCAAGTGACTTAAAATTCATGTCAGACACGTGTGTGTGCATGCCCAAGATTCTGGAGGAGAATGCAGAAAGGATTGTGGAAGGGCCATCTCCATGGGGGGTGATTTCTCATTTTCCCTCTTACTGTCTCTGTTTCTCTCTCTCTGGCTAGTACATGCAACCTAAGGTAAAAACCTCTTTAAAAAATTATTATTTATTTAATTTTATTCATCATTACTGTTCTTCAATTTGACCAGCAAGAGAGTGAAAGCAAGTCACGGGGTCTGGGACTTGAACTGTAGTCAGTCATGTAAGAGTCCAGTGTCTTAACCACTACATCACCTTCCAACCTCGTTATTTTATTTATTTATTTATTTTTACGTTTTTGCCATAAGGCATGTGTGCTTGCCAGAGAGAGACAGTAAGAGGGAAAGTAGGAAATTAACCATAGGAGAATGGCCACACCTCAGTCCCTTCTCCTCCATTCTCCTCCTGGGATTTCGAGCACGAGCACACACACACACTCACACACACACACACACACACACACACACACACACGTGCTTGGTGTGATTTTTCAAGCTGCTTGGTCTGGAACTTGAATGACAGTCAGCCATGTGGGAGTCCAGCATCTTAATCATCATGCCACCTGCTAGTCCCCTTATTGTTATTTTAGAGTGTATACCTACTTATTAATAACAAAAGTTTAGGGACCAGTAGGTGACATGGTGGTTAAAGGCACTGGATTCCTACATGGTCAACCGCGGTTTGAGTCCTGGACCTAGCGGCTTGCTTTCTTGCTTTCCCTTTCTCTCTCTGTCTACTTAAAAAATAACAACAACAAATGGAATTAAATAAATCATCCTTTTAAAAAAACCAAAAGTTTACTGTAAAACGGCATGCTGTGTGAAGTCAACAGCAGCCTCCTCCATCCTATGCTTACCATGTATCGAGTGCATCCTATTCTCGTGCTGAATTTTACCTCATGCTGTTGTGTTCATCATGGCTCTTCCAGTCACACAAGATGTGAAATTGATAATTCTGACCCTATATAGGCCTTGGCTAATGTATTTATTTGTGCCTTATTTTTTAACAATAAAGTTAAAAAAAATTTTAAATAGGAACATCTTATAGAGAGGCTGGCCCTGTAGCACAGCATCTAAGCCCTATGCACAGGAAACTGGCTCCCACATGACAGACCATGGTTTTAATCCTGGCCCTGGCAACTTAAAAACCATGCCAGGAGTGGTTACGTGTGTGACCAGGATCCTGACAGAATGGAAAATGGAAGGGGAAAGGGTTGCAGGGTGACCAGGCTCCATTGGGGGTGTTTTCTTTCTCTCTCCCTCTCTGGTATGCAGACAAACCCTCTGGCAATTAAACAAAAAAAAAGAAAGAAAGAAAGAAAAGAAAAATGCATATAGAATACAGATATAAAGAAAGAAAATATATTTGTAAAGTTTTTAAAAATTTGCTATAGGGCACATGTGCTCATCAGAGAAAGAGAGAGAGAGGGAAAGTGAGAAAGCATCCCAGAGGGATGTGCACATCATAATCCCTTCTCTTGCATTCTCCTCTTGGGAATTTAGGCACATATGCACACATGCCAGTGTGTTTCTCTTCTTTTTTTCTTTAGTTTTATTGTAGGATGCATGTGCTCACCAGAGACAGAGACAGAGAGAGGGAGAAAGAGAGACAGAGAGAGAGAGTGAAAAATTGCTTCCTCCCAGGGCCACAGCACAATCCCTTCTTCTTCAGTCTCCTCTCAGGATTTTGGCAATGCATGACCATATGCCCGGCGTGATTTTCAAGCTGCTGGGTCTGGGACAAAAACCATGCAGTTGGCCATGGGAGACCAGTACTTTAACCTCCATGCCACCTGCTGGCCCATCTAGTATGTCTTTCAAGCTGCTGTGTCCTGGATTCAAACCATGTAGTTGGCCATGTGGGATCAAGTCGCCTTAACCACCATGCCCTTGGCTGGCCCTGTGTTTGTATTTTAAGCTAAGCGTTATTATAAAAAAGATTAAACTTGGGGCCAGCAGGTGGCATGGTGGTTAAGACGCTGGACACTCCCACATGTCCAACCACAGTTCGTGTCCTGGTTCTGGTGGCTTGCTTTCTTGCTTTCCCTCTCTCTCTGTGTCTTTCTCTGATCAAATTAAAATTAAAAACATTCATAAAGTTAAAAAGTTACAGTAAACCGGGAACCAGCAGTTAGCGTAATGGCTATGTCACTGGATTCCCATGTAGTTGACCGCAGTTCACGTCCCGGACCCAGTGGCTTAAAACTCACGCCAGGTGCATGTGCGTGCATGCCCAAAATCCTGGGAGGAGAATGGAGGAGAAGGGATTGCGGCGTGACCATCCCCTCTGGGGGGGGTGATTTCTCGCTTTCTGTCTCTATGTCTCTCTCTGTCTGTCTGGCAAGCGCACGTGCCCTATAGCGGAAAAAAAAAAAAAAAAAAAACCTCTCCAAAAAAAAAAGTTACAGTAAACCCAAGTTTATTATTGAAGAAAAAAAAAATTTTAATTTTTCATTGCTAGTGGGTGCATTCACCCACCAGAAAGAGGGAAAAGACCTTTCAATGGGATGTGGTCAAGCTGCAATCCTCTCCACCATTTTTCCACCCTCTCAGGATTTTGGGAATGCAGATGCAAATGTGCTCAGCAGGTGTTTGAAGCTGCAAGGCCTGGGATTAAAACCATGGTCAGCCACATGGGATCCCACTCGCAATGCACAGTGCTTAACCACTGCAGTATTTCACTGGCCTAAAAGAAAAATTTTTTGGTTATACTTTAGTGTCACTTAAGTGTCCAGAATTTATAAAATCTATAGTAGTGTACAGTAATATCCTAGGCCTTTCTTCACATTCAGTTACCACTCACTCACTGACTTATCCAGAAGCAACTTCCAGTCTTGGAAGCTCCATTCATGAAGAGTGCCCTATACAAGTATATGTTTTTCTTTTTCTTTTTTAGAGAGTTTTTATTGCTATAGGGTGATTGTGCTTGCCAGAGAGACAGAGAGAGAGAAAGTGAGAAATAAGATCCCAGGGAGGATGGCCATGCTGCAATCCATTCTCCTCCCAGGATTTTGGGCATGCACGCACGTGCACACATGCTCAGTGTGAGTTTCAAGCTGCTGTATCTGGGACTCGAACTGAAGTCAGCCATTTGGGAGTTTAGCGCCTTACCCACTATGCCACCTGCTGGCTCCAGTGTATCATTTTTAAATTTTTTATACTATGGTTTTACTGTACCTGTTCTATGCTTATATATACAAATACCACTGTGTAACAGGCTCTCAGTGTTCAGTATAGTAACTCACTGTGCCAGTTTGTCACCTACGAGTAAAAGGCTATACCATACAGGCTATGTGTACAGCACACTCTACCATCCAGGTTTGTGTAAGTACACTCTATGATGGGTCTTCAAAAAGTTCATAAAAGGGACCAGCAGTTGGTGTACTGTCTTTGTCGCTGGACTCTCAAGTAGTTGACTGTGGTTTCATTCCCAGACCCAGTGGCTTAAAATTCATGCCGGGTGCGTGTGCGTACGTGCCCAAGATCCCGAGAGGAGAATGGAGGAGAAGGGATTGCAGCGTGGCCATTCCCCCAGGGGGTGATTTCTTGCTTTCTGTGTCTGTCTCTCTTTGTCTTTCTGGTGAGCACATGCACCCTATGGCAAAAACCTCTCAAAAAAAAGTTCATAAAAAATACATATTATGAGAAAACTATACATTTATAAAAGTTTTTAAGCCAAAATAAACTCATCTTTTAATTCTGTTTTCCATGAACTTTTTGAAGGTATCCTGGCTATGTTTGCCATGATAGCAACACAGTTCTCAGGCTGTACCCCTTGTTAAGTGATGCATGATTGTATACAAAATCACTGTCCTGTTCTTGAAAATACTTGGCTATCGTAACCCTGCATTTGACAGACAAGAGAATATAACTTGGTACCTGAGTAAACTCGGGTTGTCTGTCTGGTCTTGAGCCTTCATCTCGATAACATCGGGCAACCTGAAAATATCTACAATTGAAAAATAGCATTAATTGTCATGATTCAAGGAAAACATATGTGCTTTACCCCAAAGTATGACAATGCAGGATATGAAATAAATTAATAAGATACCTAGAAAATGTAAGAAATTTTAAAATATTTTATTTTATTCATTTTTTTGCTATAGGGTTTGTGTACTCGCTGAAAGAGAGCGAGAAAGTGAGAAATCACCCCCTCCAGGGGGAATGGCCATGCTGCAATCCCTTCTCTTTTATTCTCCTCTCAGGATTTTGGGCAAGCACGTACATGTGCCTGGTGTGTTTATCAAACCACTGGTTCCTAGATTCAAACTGTGCAGTTGGCCATGCAGGAGTCAGCTATCTTAACAACCTTGCCACCAGCTGGCCCCAAATTCTTTTTGTTTAAATTAGAGAGAGAAAGAGAGAGAGAGAGAATGCACATGCTAGTGGAAGGGAGGGAGGAAGGGAGAGAAAAAGAGAGAGTGAGAGAGAGAGAGAGAACCCTCGACAGAGTCTTATTGTGCTGAGATCTCCTTTCTCCAGCCCTCCAGCTCCCCAGAATCCTGACTGCCCTCATGTGTACCTGGTGTGTGTTTCAAGCTGACATGGGGATCTGAATCCTTTGCCACCATCCGGCTTCAGGTCTTAGAGGACACATGTGCTACCACTGCACTGCACTGGCTGGTCCAGAAATCTTAAAATTCTTTATGATTTAATCTAATGAGACACTCAGCTTACCTATGATAAATTAACTATTTTACATATTACTTCAAAAATACACACTGGCACCTTTGGCTATTGATGTATCAGACTGGCATGCAAACTAGGTAATGCTTCTTTGGCCAAATGTAAAATCTTACTGCTCCAAGAATACACTCAAGCCTTTCTGTGCTGTGCCATTTCAATTTTTTTTTTTTTTTAGAGGTTTTTGCTATAGGGCATGTGCGCTTGCCAGACAGAGAGAGACAGAGAGAGACAGAGAGACAGAAAGCGAGAAATTACCCCCCAGGGGGGATGGCCATGCTGCAATCCCTTCTCCTTCATTCTCCTCTCGGGATCTTGGGCACGCACGCACACATGCCTGGCGTGAGTTTTAAGCCACCGGGTCTGGTATGTGAACTGCGGTCGACTACATGGGAGTCTAGCGACATAGCCATTACACTAACTGTTGGTCCTGTGCCATTTCAATTTTAATGTTCACCTGCTGAAATGCAGCTCTGTCTCCACAGAGCTAGCTCAGAAAGTCCCTCATAATAATGTCCCCAAACAATGCACTTCAAACTTCTTCATACCTAACTTGTAAGCCTCAATATATTTATATTTTAGTTTATATCATAGGTGATTTTATTAATTTTCCTATTCTGCCTTACTAGTCTCATTAACTCCTTAAGAGCAAAAGCTATTCTTTTTAAAAATCCTATCACAACTACTAGCATAGAGTTTTGTACATAGGGACTATTCAATAAATTCTTACAAATAATGACTACAAATTTTCAGAGTATTTATGTATTCTCAGAACTGGGGCCAGCAGGTGGCGTGGTGGTTGAGGTGCTGAATTCCCACATGGCTGACCACAATTGAGTCCTGGACCTGGCAGCATGAAAATCACAACAGATAAATAAATTAATGAATAAATGTTAAAAAATAAATTTCTCAGTAGTAAATTTTTTAGCTTCTCACAAGAGATCAATTTTATTTCCCTTTTCTTTTTTTCCTCCCTGACAACTACTGACATAGAAAAAGTTTATCTTTTATCTAGGGCCAGCAGGTGGCATGGTGGTTAAGGTGCTGTCTGGCTCCATGATTTGAGTCCCAGACCCTGCAGCCTGAAAAACATGCCAGCTGCATGTGCATGCATGCCCAAAACCCAAGTGGAAAATGGGAGAGAAGGGACTGTAGCATGGCCATGCTGCCTGGGGAGTGACTTCTCATTTTCCTATCTCTGTCTCTCTGGTAGAGTGCACTTCCCAATGGCATCTTAAAAAAAAAAAAAAAAAAAAAAAAAGATTTATTTACCTGTCTAAACCGCCAACCATCAGAAGCTGTTTAAACTGCTGAGGACTTTGAGGGAGAGAATAAAACTTTCCAGGTTCCCTGGATGGTACTAAAAACTCCTTGGCACCCTTTAAAAGAGAGAGAGGGAGAGCCAGACATTATTGAAAATACAAATTCAAAGACATAATTAGCTGGTGAAAGTTGGTATCCAGTTATCAGTGAAACTTATAGAAGAGTTAAATTTCCTCAATGAAAAAAGAGAACTTTTTGCTCATCTTTTTAGTACCTAAAAGCTTGCACACAACAGGCTTTAAATATCACCTGTACATAATAGACATTAAATGTGAATGCTTGTTGAAATGAGTTCCCAATTCTCTTACTACCTGGACAAGTTTTGTGCATTATTTCCTACTAAGTAATTCCTAATTGCTTTTCTTATTTTTTTAAGAATTATTTTATTTAACTTTATTTATTTATTTATTATTAATTTGACCAGAGAAAGAAAGAGAGAGAGAGAGAGAGAGAGAGAGAGTGAGAAAGCAAGCCGAGGTCGGAAACTTGAAACATGGTCAACCACGTGGGAGTCCAGCACCCTTAACCACCATGCCACCTGTTGGCCCCCTGCTTTTCTTTTTTAAAAATTTTGTCAGAGGGTATGTGCACTCAATAGAGAAAGAAATAGTGACAAAGAGGGAGAGGGAGAAAGCGCCCCCTTCCCATGGGGAATGGTTACGCTTCAATCCCTTTTCCTTTTCTCCATCCTTTCAAAATTTTGGACAAGTGCTTACATGTGCCTGGAATGTTTCCCAAACCACCAGGTCTGGTACTCAACCAGGTGAGAGCTTTTGGCCTTAACCACCATGCAGCAGAGTCAGTCCCCTAATTGCTTTTCTAAATTAAACTTCAGTTTTGTAAATCTACAGATTGGATAATTAGGTTAAATGACAATGTTTACAAACACTGATTCTTAATCAACAAGAGATATGTTTTTAAGCAATCAGTTCATTAATGATTTGCATCTATAAACCTCAAGAGAAGAAAAATCATTTGGAATAAAAAGATTCTGAATCAAGGGGCCAGTGGAGGGCATAGTGGTTATATTGCTGGACTTCTACGTGGTCGATGGTGGTTTAAGTCCCAAATCCAGTGGCTTGAAAAGGATGCTAGACACGTGTGTGTGGCTGCCCAAGATCCCTTGAGGAGAATGGAGGAGAAGGGATTGTGGCATGGCCATCCCTTCCAGGGGGTGAGTTCTCACTTTCCCTTTCCCTGTCTCTGTTTGTCTCTCTCTTTGGTGAGTACATGCACCCTATGGAAAAAACTTCTATATATATATAAAAAAAGAGAGATTCTGACTCAAAATATTGACCCACATAATTTTCTCAATTCTTAGGAAAGCCTAGTTAATGTGACTACCCTGAGGTAGTAAATAAAATTAAAGAAAAAGTAGATCAAGTGAATATAAAAGCAAAGTGGGGGGGCCAGCAGGTGATGTGGTGGTTAAGGCACTGGATTCTCACATGACTGACCAAGGTTCAAGTCCCAGATCAGGTGACTTGAAAATCATGATGGGTATATGTGCATGTATGCCCAAAATCCTGAGAGGAGAATAGAGGAGAAAGGATTGTGGCAAGGCCATCTTCCCTGGGGGTGATTTCTCACTTTCCCTCTCACTGTCTCTCTCTGGCAAAACCATACGCCTTAGGGCAAAAAAAAAAAAAAAAAAAAAAGTAAGGAAAAAGCAAAGTGGTTCAGTTTCATAATTAAGAGGACATTACTTGAATGATTTAAGGGATATACATACCCCTGGGGTCCTCTTAAACAATGTTGGAGTTTCAATATCCACAAACCCTAACAAGAGAAAAACATCAAAATTTAACAGATAGGAATTTACAATTTGTCAAATATGATGTCTACAATATAGCCCAACAAATCTGAGGGTCCCCTTTAATTGGGAATTTTGGCAGAAGGAAGCTATTGGGCCTACATTTTATTTCTACAAATCTAAGAAGGCTGAAGATTTTCATAGAATTCTGTTCATAAAGTTGATGCTTTTAACATGAAATAATTCTAAATATTTGATGGATTCTTGTCTACGGAACTATTCTGGTTTTCTAAATGTTTGCTAGTATAACAAAAAATGACATTAACTATATCAGGAAAAAACTTAGGACTGATTGAGATGTCTAGTTTAATTCACATGACATTTCTGAGCTTCCAACCAATGAGGTATTAAGGGTGACAAAGAAGTAAGAAATCTTATAGAAACAACAAGATGGCTGTCCTGTCTTCAGAAGTAATGGGACATACATTAAGTATTATAATAGGCACTATCACCTTTAAAAGAATGTATCTTTGGAGACAGCAGGTGGCATGGTGGTCAAGGTGCTGGACTTCCATATGGTTTGAGTCCTAGACCTGGTGGCTTACTTTCTCATTTTCCTATCTATTTGTCTCTCTTTGATGAGCACATATGTCCTATAGCAAATTAAAAAAAAAATAATAGGGACCAGCACATGGCATAATAGTTACATTGCTGGATTCCCACATGGCCAACAGTGGTTCGAGTCCGGGACCTGGAGGCTTGAAACTCATGCTGGGCATGTGTGTGCGTGCCCAAGATCTCGAGAAGAGACTGGAGGAGAAGAGATTGTGGCATGGCCATTCTCCCTAGGGGGTGATTTCTCACTTTCTGTCTCTCTGTCTTTCTCGGTCTTTCCAGTGAGCACATGAACCCTCTAGCAAAAAATCTCTCTCAAATAATAATAATAATAATAAATAAAATAAAACAGAATAGATGCTAAAAAGTTCCAAAGAATATCCAGACATTTCTCTTACCGTGAAGATTACAGAGATATTCCCGCATTTTCATGACCATCTCAGATCTCAGTCGCAGGTTATACTGCATTTGGAAACTGCGTAAGTCTAAGTAGCGATACTGCAAACGAAGAGCCTCTGTTTTCTAAAAAATTGGAAAGAAATGTTAAGTATTTTTTGAATATTGGAAAGATATTATCTTCAGAGTTTGAATTTTCAAAAACCTCAGTATCTATCATCAAGCAGCCTGCTCTCATGCTGTTTCCATTTGTGTTTACAACTGTCATACTGAATTCCTACAACTTCCAACTTTGTTACTGTACACATTTTATTTCACCAATTTTATTTCACTATACCCTTCACTGATTGAAATTTGCCTACTTGACTAAATATTTATCCATTCACTTAAGCCCATGGTAGAGTCTTAAAAAAAAAAAAAAAGAATATTTCAAAGATCTTGTAAAAATACATAGCACAGGGACTGGCAGATGGTGTGATGGTTAAAGGTGCTAGATTCCCACATGGTCAACTGGGGTTTGAATCCTGGACTTGGTAGCTTGAAACTCACACCTGACACATGTGCATGTGCACAAAATCCCAAGAGGAGAATGGAGAAGGGATTGAAGTATGGCCAGTTCCTCTAGGGGGTGGTTTCTCACTTTTTCTCTCTCCATCGCTCTCTGTCTCTCTAGTGAGCACATGTACCCTATAGCAAAAACCTCTCCAGGAAAAAAAAAAATTACAGGGACCAGTAGACGGTGTAATGGTTATGTTGCTACACTCCCATGCAGTCAACTGTGGTTCAAGTTCCAGACATGGTGGCTTAAAACTCACACCGGGCATATGTGCATGCATGCCCAAAATCCAGAGAGAGAATGGAGGAGAAGGGACTGCGGTGTGGCCATCCCCCTGGGAGGTGATTTCTTGCTTTCTGTCTCTCTGGTGAGGGCATGCACCCTATAGCAAAAATATCTCTTAAAAATAAATTACATATATAATATAATAATTGTTGCGAAGCTGAAAATAATCTGGGTGAACTTACTCAGGGCTGTCTAACTCCATTAACTTCTCAAACTTTGCAAGGAACATCATAAATTATAGCAGCCCTATGTATACTTACATGCTTGCAATCTCAAGAGTTGCTCTAAGCACATACTTTATCACTGTTAAGAGGCTTAAACTTAATAGGTTCAGGACCCCCTATGTCATTTGGCCATTTGTAGGTTAGTTAAAATTTCTGTTCATATCCAAAAAAGAAAAAAATACTTTCAAAATGTTAAACAATGGCAATGAAAAAACTTGAGGGGCCAGCAGATGGTGTAGCAGTTACATCGTTGGACTCTCACATGGCCAACCATGGTTCAAATCCTGGACCTGGTGGCTTGAAACACTGGATATGTATGTGCTCATGCCCAAGATCCTGGGAGGAGAATGGAAGAGACAGGATTACAGTATGGCCATCCCCCCTGGGAGGTGATTTCTCACTTTTCATTTCACTCTCTCTCTGTGTCTCTGGCAAGAGACGTGACCCAAGGCAAGAACCTCTACAAACAACAACAACAACAAAATACTTGAATAATAGAATACGTCAAGTCTTAAAGCAAGAAGTTGTAGAACTGACAGAAAAAGTCATGATATATATGTAATAAAAATGCTTAATTTTGTAAAAGTCAAACTTTTTCTTTAAAAAATTTTGAAAGTACTAGAACCAGCAGATGGATTAATGGTTATGTTGCTGGACTCCCATGTAGTCCATGGTTCATGTCCCAGACCCAGCAGCTAAAACTCACTCTAGATGTGTATGCATGTGATGTGTGCCCAAAATCCTGAGAGGAGAATGACAGAGAAGGGATTGGGGCATCGCCACCCACCCCAGGGATGATTTCTTGCTTTCTGTCTCACTCTTTCTTTCTGTCTCTCCCGTGAGTGCACATACCACCCCCCTTTTTTTTTTTTTGAGAGGTTTTTGCTATAGGGCGCGTGTGCTCACCAGAAAGACAGAGAGAGACAGAGAGACAGAAAGCGAGAAACCAGCCCCTAGGGGGGATGCCCATGCCACAATCCCTTCTCCTCCGTTCTCCTCTAGGGATCTTGGGCATGCATGCACACGTGCCTGGCGTGAGTTTAAGCCACTGGGTCCGGGACTTGAACTGCGGTCGACTACATGGGAGTTCAGTGACATGGCCATTACGCTAACTGCTGGTCCTGAGAGCACATACCCTATAACAAAAATCTCTCCTAAAAAAAAAAAGAAAAAGAAAAACAAAATACTTTACTATTCATCAACATTTTCTAATTAATTAATTTTGATTAATAACAGAGGATGGCACCTTCACAAAGTCCTTAATTTCAAAGGGCAGCTTCTTGCAGGAATTCAGAAGCACAGCTGTTTTAACTTTGATTTCAATCTCACCTGTTGGCATTTTCTGAAAGAGAAAAAGATCTATTTTAAAAATCAATCATGATGAATATACAAAATGCATAACTATAAAATACACTTATTTATTTACATATGTAAAATGTGTGTGGTTTAGTGTATAGCCTAAAGCATACATATCAGCATGATTTTGACATTCTTTTTTTTTAAAAGAATTATTTTATTTAACTTTATTTATTATTATTATCATTATTATTTTCCAGTTTGATCAGAGAGACACAGAAAGAGAGGAAGTGAGAAAGCAAGCCACCAGGTCTGAGACTCGAACCATGGTCAGCCATGTGGGAGTCCAGCGCCTTTTACTACCATGCCACTTGCCAGCCCCGATTTTGACATTCTTATTCTGTGGCTAATGAGCTTAGATAGCAAGAAATGTCAGTACACATTCGTCAGCAACAACAAATGACTTGTCATGCATATTTATATAGGTGTATTTGTAGTGAAGATTTTGAAATCTATAGGTTCATTTGCATAACTTATTAAGCTTTAGTGCCTAATGTCCAATAAGCACCTGGTCTTGTCTGGATGTGTACAAAGACAGTGAAAATGCATACAAGTAAAATTTACAGAGACAGTTTCTAAATTACTAACTGGATTCTCTTGTCCTGGAGGTCGGGAAATGACTGTCCCAGACACTTGCACCACAGATTCCACTGGAGCTTCACATAAAATCTTCTTCACTGAGGCAGATGACTACAGAACAAGTGGGAGAAGACAGTTTTAAGAAACAAATGAACTTTCAGGAATCTTCAGTAATGTTGTTTATGGTTTAGAAAAATATTAACTGTCATAAATGGGATTGTCCTTAATGATTTTAACAGAACATGGTAAACTGCTTCTCCATTTTGATTCCATATAATATACCAAGGGAAACTATCAATTAGGAGTTGGTTTTTGTTTTTGTTTTTAGGTTTTTGCCATAGGGTGTGTGTGCTCACTTGAGAGACACAGAGAGAGGGAAAATGAGAAATCATTCCCCAACGGGGCATGGCCATTTCACAATCCCTTCCTCTGCGATTCTCCTCGTGGGTTTTGGGCATGCATGCACACACCCGGTGTGATTTTCAAGCTGGCGAATCTGGGACTTGAACCATGGTGGGAATCCATCCTTGTGGGAATCCAGCGTCTCAACCACCATGCCACCTGCTGATTCCCATTAAGAGTTTTTAAAAAAACTTTCCTTAAAGGAAAATAAGGAGAAGAAAAACTTATTAATGTAAACAATTCCCACATACATTAAAGGCAATCGTCTTCAGGGTTAATCTTAAGGGCAGTTAAATCTAATAGCAATAATGGAGTCCAAAAGCAAAAGGACTTCTCCAGCATTAGCTGTGCTCTTCTCTGGATCCTAACCCCTGAAAAGATAGTTTATTGCCCTTTTCTTATTTCAAACTCTTAAAAGCTGAACAGATTATATTTTTCTTAAGCATATAACCTTGTTACTACAATAGAAAATAGTATCACCCAGTGAATGAGCATGAAAGGAGTTGTTTTATCTAATCTAATTTTAATGGTAATTATTTCTGAATAAGTAGTACCTTCTCAAGGGTACTTAAAAGGGTACAAGAAGATACAGTGGAAAGTTTCCTTCCTCTCCTTGTCTTCAAACCCTAAAAAGACCTTAAAAAACCCCAAAACAACAAAACTTCTAACTAATAACTTCACTTGGTATATTATATAGAATCAAAACGGGGATGCAGTTAACCAAGTCCTGTTAAAATCATTAAGGGCAGCCCCATTTATGGCAGCTAAGCTATGACTCTTAATCCCCCCCCCGCCCCGTTTTTTTTGCGAGAGGTTTTTGCCTTTGGGTGCATGCGCTTGACAGAGAGACAGAAAGCAAGAAATCATTCCCCAGGAGGATAGCCACACTGCAATCCCTTCTCCTCCACTCTCCTCTCGGGATCTCGGGCACGCACACACATGTGCCCAGTGTTGAGTTTCAAGCCACCAGGTCCAGGACTCAAACCACAGTCAACTATGTGGGAGTCCAATGATGTAACCATTATGCCATCTTCTGGTCCCTAAATGTTCATGTTTTTCTAAACCACAGACAGCATAACTGAAGATTCTTGAAAGTTTGTTAGTTTACCTCCCCAAAAGCACCCAATGTTACCAGATAGGTATATACCATTCTAGACACATTTCATAAGATATACAAGTAAATATGCACACACACATACCTAGTGCACATATATTCCCTTTCCTTCTCCCTTTTTATACAAGATAGCACTTTCTATGCTCTTCTGTATCCTGCTTTTTATATTGAATAATATCTTAGTTTTTATTTTAAAAATATTTATTTTTATTTATTTTATTTTGACTAGAGAGGGATAGAGAGCAAGAGAGGGAGAAAGAGAAAGTGAGAAAGCAAGCCACCAGGTCCAGAACTCGAACTGTGGTCGACCATGTGGGAGTCCAGTGCCCTTAACCACCACATCACCAGCTGGCCTCTACATCTGTTTTTTTCCCATATTATTAAAAAGCGCCTTTACTCTTTTTTTCCATGGCTTAGCAAAGCATCCCATTGTAAAGAGATAAATTACTTTATTTTAAAAAAGAATGATTTATTTAACTCCATTTGTTGTTATTTTTAAAAAAAATTTGACCAGAGAGAGACAGAGAAAAAGAAAAAGAGAAAGGGAGACAGCAAGCTGCCAGATCCGGGGACTCAAATCACAGTCGGCTGTGTGGGAATCCAGTGCCTTTAGTCACCACACCACCTGCCGGCCCAAAGAGGTACATTATTTTCTTAAACCAGTTTGTACTGGAGAACATCTAAGTTGTCTTATTTTTTTTCTATTCAATGCCATCTGCATGGGCCAGCTAGTGGCATCATGGTTAAGGTGGCTAGATCCTATGTGGCTGACCATGCGATTTGAATTCCAGATCCAGCAGCCTAAGAAATACGTTGGGCATGTATGTTCCTGCCCAATCCCAAGAAGAGAATGGAAGAGAGGAAACTGTGGAGCGGCCATCCTTGCAGAGGGTGCTTTCTCTCTCTCTCTGTCTCTCTCTGTGTTTTTCTCTGGCAAGCACACATGCCCTATAGCAAATAAGAGAAAACAAAAAGGCGAAATAAAAACAAAACCTATCCTTGTATTTGTGTAAGCCTAGATGTAAGATAACTATAAGACAATCTACTAAATGTGAAATTAATGGTTGAAAGGATATGCATTTAAAATTTCGATACCCCTAATCTGCTCTTCATACACCAATGCCAGTTTGTACTCCCTTCAAAATATGGTGTTTTGTCAGTCAATCTAGTATGTTAAAGATAATAATTCTGTGCAGTTTTAATTTAATCCAGGACCCTTCCCAGTTGGGTTTGGCTGTTGTACACTGCCTGGTGTCCAGTGGTCTTTTAAAGCTGGTCTGTAGTAGCCTTTTAGACATTAGAAAAATAGACAGGTGGCGTGGTGGTTAAGGGAGCTGGACTCCCACATGGCTGACTGCAGTTTCTTTCTTTCTTTCTTTCTTTTTCTTTTTTTTTGCGAGGTTTTTGCTATAGGGTGCATGCGGTCACTGAAAAGACGGAGAGAGACAGAGAGACAGGAAGCAAGAAATCACTCCCCGGGGGGGATGGCCACACCGCAATCCTTTCTCCTCCATTCTCCTCTTGGGATCTTGGGCATGTACGCACACCTGCCCGGCATGAGTTTAAACCACTGGGTCTGGGACTTGAATGGCGGTCGACTACATGGGAGTCCAGCGACATAGCCATTACACTAACTGCTGGTCCCAGTTGACCACAGTTTGAGTCCCAGATCGGGTGGCTTGCTTTCTCACTTTCTCTCTCTCACTCTGGTCTCTCTGGTGAAAAAAAAAAATACATATATGTGTCTGTGTGTGTGTGTGTATGTGTATGTGTGTGCGTGTGTATAAATAAATAAAATCAAGTTAAATAAAATAATTCTTTAAAAAGAAAAAAGACATTAGAAAAATAGGTCTTTTGTCTGATATGAATCACATTTTTAAAAAGAATTTCTATTTTAATTTTATTTATTTATTCACTTTATTTTAATTTGACCAGAGAGAGAGAGGGAATGTGAGAAAGCAAGCCATCAGGTCACAGACTTGAACTGAGGTTGGCCATGTGGGAGTGTCCAGCACCTTAACCGCCACACTGCCTGCTGGTCCCCTGAATTGCATATTTTTTCCTGAGTTTGTTATGTATTATGTTGCTCGTGGTAGTTTTCAGTTTTCATTAAAAATGAACTTGTGAATTTAAACCTCAAGCATACTTATCAACTACTTACCTTACCCTAGCCATAGGGTCAAAGAGGCTTTCAGATAATAGTAGGAAAGTTTCTATTTACCTCATCCTGGGGGATGACAACTTGAACAAGCCCCTGGAAATCTCTTAGGACCAGGAATATGTTTTGCCTGATTAATGGAAAAAAAAAAGTTAATATTTTAGGAAAAAGTCTCTGAGCCCAAAACTGAAGCATGCAAAGCAAATAACAGACAAAAAAACTCATGCAATTCTCGTTTCCTTTTTATGATAACTATGTACTTTCTTTCCTTTTTGTTTTGACAGGTTTTTGCCATAGGGTGTGTGCATGTGCCAGAAAGACAGAGACAGAGAGACAGAAAGTGAGAAATCACTCCCCAGGGAGGATGGCCATGCCGCAATCCCTTTTCCTCCATTCTCTTCTCAGGATCTTGGGCACGCACGCACACGTGCCTGGCATGAGTTTAAGCCACCGTCCGGGACTCGAACAGCGGTTGACTACATGGGAGTCCAGTGACATAGCCATTACACTAACTGCTGGTCCCGGTAACCGTGTGCTTTCATTAGGTACATTCATGCTATTGTTCCCTACATAGTGGATTAATGAAAACAACAAGTTCAGTTTTTATTGGCTACTTATATAGCTTACTAATCTTATATTATACAAATGACTTATTAATGAAAAAGCATATTAAAAATTTTTAAATTTTTCATGGGTTTAATTCTTTATAAGACAATTTTATTAAATTTGAAAATTTCTCACACAGTAAAATCCAAAGATAATATTTCAGAATATTAGAAACATCTAACTGGTCATTTTGAAATATAGAAAAAAATGGGTTTTCAGGGAAGTCATGACATTTTTTTTTGGGTTTTTTTTTTTTTTTTTTTTTTTTAAATACAAAAATGTGTCATGACTTTCCTAACATCCTTTTAAGGTCTTTTCCTATAAAGAGATACAATCTAACATTTTTCGAAAAAGTTCCAACTATTAATACCTCTATAAACGATCAAAAGGTCTCAGAAGTCTGGACATTTTAGCATTCAACTTAGATTTCTCATGTTGTCTTTAGTACCAGAAAGAAGTACAGAAAGCCTCCTCAGACTCTGGACTCAAGGGACAAATGTGCCATATTTACAGGACAAGTATCCTTCAACTTGGGACATAACCTTTAGGAAGATTACACAACCTATGTATTTTGGATCTCTTCAATGTGAATTAGTGTACTATTCAAGTATGTTCTGGAATACAGAGATGACACTGATCTTAAGCAATCCAGGTTCTTGTTTATAGTTTTTTTTTTCTCTGCCTAAATGCAGAATAAGCCTCCTCCCTCCCATGCCATTGGATCTTTTTTGGTCCCCCTCAGATTTACAGCAATTTATTAAATTCCACTGCTTCATCTTCTATTCCATGAACATCCATCCTGTACCTTCTAAAGCTAAGTCACATGCTTGCTGCCATCATAAAAGCTCTTTAAGTTTATAGGGTAACAGAAAGTCTACCTGTCCTACATGTGAATTCTTAATCTTGAATTTAAAAGACAAGACAGAATAAGGTGTTTATATAGAAGTCAGTAGTCAATTCCTTAATTTTTTTTTTAATCTTAACAGCCACTATAGGATGCCGGCCCATTCTCAATTACTGGTCACAGGAACTCTTCAGCCTTAGTAAGCCTGGGGTCTTTTCAGTTCATTGGTAGTTCAAGATTCACTGTCATACTGGTCAACAGATTTAACTGATACTTACTCAAGCAATACTATTTGGATCTTTCAAAACGAAAACAAAACAGAAAATTAAATGAATTCTGAGCATCTTGCAAAGTTATAAAGCTTTTTATTCCTGAAAATTAGAAAAACTTTGGAATTGCCTTAGGAAAACCATCACCATGCATTCTTTCTTTTTTTTTTTGAGAGGTTTTTGCTCTAGGGTGCGTGTGCTCTCCAGAAAGACAGAGACAGGGAGAGAGAAAGCTAGAAATTGCCCTCCAGGGGGGATAGCTATGCCACAGTCCCTTCTCCTCCATTCTCCTCTCGGGATCTTGGGCACGCATGCACACTTGCCGAGTGTGAGTTTAAGCCACCGGGTCTAGGACTCGAACTGCAGTCGACTACATGGGAGTCCAGCGACATAGCCATTATGCCAGCTACTGGTCCCATCACCATGCATTCTTAAAAATCTGCTTCAATTTACCTTCGGTACTGAATCCATCCACACAAGGTGACTTCTTGGCCTAAGTGAGAAGAACGCAACTCTCCACATGTGTTGGTCCGGGCAACAAAGCTACTGAATTCTTAAACAGGAAGAAAGAAAACAAAACCAAAAAAAACTTTAAAAGGTAAGACTAAAAATGTATCAATTCTAGATTGCTTAAAAATAAAGATCTTCAAATCACAACACTTTAATGAGTTCAGGTCAATGGATGACATAAATCATCTCTGACATAAGTCAGAAGATGCAAATGGATTCATTATTAAATTTACCTGCCACAGTGTCAAAGTGAGTAACTGCCTTAATGTAAATTTTTGCCTTATATCAGAAAAGTATATATTTTTTGGATCTAGCATATGCATTTATCTAAAATCGTAATTACCCAATTTTTAATATCATTGCACATTTCTTTCTCAAATGCAACCTTAGGGATTATAGGAGTTTGATGGTGCAGTAACTATTTAGTTATAGTATGAATCTATCTGTACACTAGAAAACACTATTAAAAGTGTGAGGATGGCAGGGCCAGCAGGTGATGTGATGGTTGAGGCACCTCTCACATGGCCGACCACAGTTCAAGTCCCAGACCTAGAGGCTTGAAACTCAAGCCAGGCACATGTGCAGCTTCAGTTCTGAACCTGGCAACTTGCTTTCTCCCTTTCCCTTTCTCTGTGTGACTCTTTTGTCAAAATAAAAAAAAATAATAATAATGTGGGGGCTGGCAGGTGGCATTGTGGTTAACGGTGCTGGACTCCCACATGGCCGACCATGGTTCGAGTCCCGGACCTGGTGGCTTGCTTTCTCACTTTCCCTCCTCCCCTCCCTCTCTCTCTCTCACTTACTCTCTCTCTGGTCAAATTAAAATAACTAACTAAATAAATTTTAAAAAATTAAAAAATAATAATGGGACCAGCAGATGGCCTAATGGTTACTTGCTGGACTCCCACATGACTGACCACAATGATTATGTTGTTGGACTTCCATATAGCTGACCACAGGTTTTTTTTTTTTTTTGTAGAGGTTTTTTTCCTATAGGGTGAGTGCGCTGGCCAGAAAGACAAAGTGAGAAATCACACACACACCCCACCCCAACGGGGATGGCCACGCCACAATCTCTTCTCCTCCACTCTCCTCTCGGGATCTTGGGCATGCATGCACATAAGCCCAGCGTGAGTTTAAGCCACCCGGTCCAGGACTCAAACCACGGTCGACTACATGGGAGTCCAGTGATACAGCTATTACGCTAACTGCTGGTCCCTAGCTGAACACAGTTTGAGTCACAGACCCAGAGGCTTGAAACTCAAGATGAGCTCATGTGTGTGTGTACCCCAAATCCCCAGAGAACAGAGAAGAGATTGCAACATTGCCATTCCCCTTGGGGGATGATTCTTGATTTCTCTCTCACGCCCTATAGCAAAAATCTTTTTCTAATTAAAATAAATTAAATAATTAAATTTAAATTAAATTAATAATTCTTTTATTTTTGAGAGAGGTTTTTGCTATAGGGCGGGTGCACTCGCCAGCCAGACAGAGAGAGACAGAGACAGAAAGCGAGAAATCACCCCCCCAGGGGGATGGCCACGCCACAATCCCTTCTTCTCTTGGGATCTTGGGCACGCACGCACACACGCCCGGTGTGAGTTTTAAGCCACCGGGTCGAACCGCGGTTGACTACGTGGGAGTCCAGTGACATAGCCATTATGCTAACTGCTAGTCCCTAATAATTCTTTTTTAAAAGTGTTATTGGCAGGGCAAGCAGCTGGCATGATGGTTAAGCCACTGGACTCTGTCGTAGCTGACCTTGGTTCCAGTCTCGGACCTGGGGCTTGAAAATCACACAGGGCATGTGTGCGTGAGTGCCCAAATCCCTCACTGGTGAGTCCAAGCTCCCTATGGCAAAATAAATTTTTTTTTAGAGGTTTTTGCTATAGGGCGCCGCCCAGCATGAGTTTAAGCCACCGGGACCGGGACTCGAACCACAGACGACCACATGGGAGTCCAGCGACATAGCCATTACACTAACTGCTGGTCTCAGCAAAAATCCTTTAATAAAAAAAGTATGAAGGAATTTTAGGCTCCCTATTAGTAGCATCAGTAGCAGCAACTAAAAGCAGAGTGCCCTTAACTATATGGTTACCTCTTCGTGGTCTTTTTAAAAACTCAAGGAAAAAACGCACTACAAAGAATAAAAGTAAGTGATTTGCATCTACACACGAGGCAAACCAGTTAAGAGTGGGTAAAAATAGAATAAAAGCTCTCTAGCTGCAGAAAACTGAAGGAAGTACTGTTCAGAGGCCAGAGCTCTTCGCTGTTTTCACCTGGAATTCTCTGGGAACTCAGCCCCAGACTTCTGGACAGAGTACCCCAGACCGGCTGGGTCCTTCCGCAGGGTGTGGATAAACCTCCACACAGCCGTCTTAACCAAGAATAAAAGTACATGTTGGAGCCCCAAGATGGCGAGAGACAATCACGAATCCCACGCAGCCGGTGTTGAGAAGTCAGTTTTGCACATACACAGAAATTCTAATTCTAGGCGCTCCCGCTCCAACATTTAAGCCTTCTTCGAGTACCCGTGTTTAGAAAACCAGATCAATCTGCAGAATTCTGGGAGCCTTCGGGGCAAGGGTCGGGGAACCTTTCCTCCTTTTCAATGCATCAGTTTCCACTTCTACTACACGACTGCCGCCCGGAGAGACGACGGAGGATTCCGCAGCACGGTTCCGAGGCCGAGGGGACCAGTATCCAGGAGCACGCCCTGCCCTTCCTTCCACGCGTCCCTGAAGGTGCCCGTGGGCAGAGCCAGAATACTTAGTAGCAGCCTCTAGTTTCCAATCTCCCAGGCCTAACGGCCAACCTTGAATCTTCAGAAAGAGGACAAACAAATCCGAAACTTTCCCAGAGGTCCACCACACGCGAATCGCCACCGGGAGCCGCGCGCACCCTGGATTCCTCCGGAGAAGCCTAGAATTACGGTAAAAGCAGCTAACCAATCAGAGCAGCAGTGCTGCCGCCATGTTCACTACGGGCGGAAATTTGAGGGAATGCTTCGCACAGGAGAGCGAAAGAGGAGCGTCCCGCGATTAGAAATGTTGCCAAGAGAAGTTAAGTAGCTCGACCTTGCCCTCAGTTAAAATGGCGACCTCGGTTGCTTCAGAGACACAGAATAGGCGGAGCGCCGCAGAGGCTTCCGGCATCGGGCCGCAGAGCGAGGCGGGGAAACATTTTAAAACGGG